GCGCGCGCACACACACACACACACACACACACACACACACACACTCCCGCCTCTTTTTTTGTTGTTTTTTGATACAGGGTCTTACTGGGTTACTCAGGCTGTCCTTAGACTCTCAGTCCTCCTGCTTCAGTCTCCCAAGTAGCTGGAGTTAGCGGTGTGTGACACTATATAAGGCTCTACCTTTACTTTTTCAAAAATTGAGCTCTGTGTACAGACATTCCTCACTTAACAACCTACTTTTGCAGTGGCTGTTCAGATTTATGACCAAGGCAGACTGTTTAAGCTTACAACCCACTGCCAGGATTTAGGACCCACATTCAGGCTTAGTATGCAAGAACACGAGCAGCGGTGTGGCCTTATGGTGGCTCCTTTCAGTGCAGTACTGCAATTTCTGCTGATTATACTGTACTGCAATTTCATGTTCCCTTACACTTTCCAATACAGGATGTAAGAGTTATGCAAAAGAAAGCAAAGTCATCAAGTTGGAGTTTCCTTTGACCATTTCTTTGTTCTGAACATTGTAATGTACATACTATACAATAAGTCCCTGACTTACCCGTGAGTTCTGTTCCAGGATAAGTCGGATTCATTTGTAAATCCAACAAAGAGAGTTTGTGCCTATACATCTAGAATTAACCCAAAACCACAGGTTCCTTCTAATTTTGTTCCTCTTCATATTTTTTATTCCTTTCTCCATCACTGAGAAACCCAGGTTCCTTGATCTTATTACATCACCTTGTTTGCTTGATCATGAATATATTGGATCTTGGCCAGCATTTCCTGTGCTGTCCCTCACTCCACTTGGCCTCTCTCCCCCTAGCCCATACTGGGCCAACCTCTTCCGTGTGCATGGACACTCTTCACTCTCACCAGGCCGGGACATCGTGGGCCAAACCATCCTCCCTGGGTTGTCCTTACCCTACTTGAGTTCTGACATCCTGCTTTGGGCCACCACAGATTTCTGTCCCCTGTTCTCCACCATGGATCCTACCTCCCTCTGACTCTGGAACTGAATTGCTTACAAAAGAGAAGAAGGAGCCACTATCTGCCTTGATTAAAGATTGTTCTTTGTTAACAATCCTTTGCATTCTGGGAGCATTGTATCTGACCTATTAAATAAACAAATACTAATTATGACTGCCAGCCTTTCCCCAATCTTTTGCCTCTGTTATTGTAATGACATTTTTTAATGAAATGTTTGTATGGTTAGGGTGCCTTCTTCCTTACTGCAACATTTATTTTGCAAATTTGCAGTTTTATTTAGGCTACCACCAGCAACTCTCCTGGCAAACCCTGAGCAACTCCCACCACAAAAATGAATGAGTAGAGACAAGGTCTGCCCACCTACTCACTCTGTTCTTCCATTATCAAGTTGTAGGGCTGTAGGGAAGTGATCCAGGGGACATCTAAGGAAACCAGAAATGGAGTTTTGTAGCACTGTGAATGGTATGAACTTGTGAGTAACGCGTTCTTCTTGGCTACACTGTAAGCTTCAAGAAAGCGGGTTGTGTCTTCTATTTTTTTATGAGGTCCCAAATGCAATTCTATAAAAACATAAGGTAACCCCTTTGCTTTTTGGTTGGCTGAGGCCAGATGGCTTCATATTGGTAGGGTGGGAGAGAGAATATGGGTTCCAAAGCCTGTGGAGATTTGGTTCTCTTTGTTTTTCTTGACCTCTGTGAACCACTAATTCCCCGGCGAATCACTCCCTGCCCTTGGCTCCTGAGGCACTTGTCTTCTCTCCTGCCTCCTTGGCTGCCTCATCCCAGAGACCTTTGTGTGGGCTATTGAATCTGCCCCTTCTCCCAACAGGGTACATGAAATGGGTGCTTTCCGTGACCTTTCTGTTCCCCCAAGTGTACCTAGCACTGGCTGGTCTTGAAGGACTGGGGCAGCCTGTCCCCGGCCAGCTTCTTTTGTGGGAAGGAGGCTTTCTAGATGCGCATCTCTCATGAGCCTTGGTGAGCTGGCCTCTGCCCCCTACCCACTCCCTGGCTGTGCTCCTGCCATCTACTGCCTGCATCACACTCTCCTGCAGTATGGAAAGCTGGGTGCCTCTGCGTATCTCCCTAACATTGCTCCTGCTATACTCTGGGCTGAGGGGGTCTTTTTTTTTGCACAGCTGATGTCCCACTCATCCCTTTGGACTCAGCTCCTTGCTCTCTTCCATTCCTACTCCATGAGGAACAGGAGTGCCCAGTACGTGGTGTTAGAGTCAACTATTTACCTATCTTTCCTCGAGAGACAGACATGGCAGTAATTACATGTTTAATGTCTGTCTCCCGGGCTGGTATACCCTTGTGAGCGTGGGCTGTGGCTGTCTTATTCACTATTGTGTCTCCAGCATGCTGCGTGCAGTGATAATTGCAAGCAACAAGCCCTTCCAACAAAGCACTAATCAGGGACCAGGTCAAGAAGTGTCCCTAGAACCTCACATGTGTCAGCTTATTAATTTTGACTACAATTCAGTGAGGTATATACCACTAGCAGTCCTAGTTTACAGATTAGAAGGTAGACCCCCCTCCTAAGTACAGAGCCAGGTTTAGGGTTCAGACAGTCTGGCCTGAATCTGTGCTCTTTACCATGATGCCTGATGAATTCATGGATGAGTGGGAAGGATGGATGGATGGACAGACAGATGGTCAGAAAGATGAGTGGGATGGACAGATGGATGGATGTACTGTGCCTGGGCACTAGTCAATTTTGTCACCTTGTAAGGGTAGGAGTATGAATGGTTCATGAGGAGGAATTTAGGACTGGCCCCCAAATACGTGCAAGCCCCCATTCCACTGCACTTCAGAGTACACAATAAAACCATCTCCTGACTACCTTCCTCAGTGCTCTACACCCTAGTACCCCAGCAATTAGCACCCAAGTGGAGAGGAGTGATCTGCGTCCTCCCTGAGAGATAAATGGGGTTTGCTTAACCATCAGAAGGGGAAAAAAGAGTGTTTTGGCCTGTGGAGACAGCTTGGGAGAAGGAACTCGTCCTTAGGGTCTGTGGGGTTTTTAGAGAAGGGTGGACAGGCCTCTCTTGCAGAATAGAATGAGCCTGATTGCCTGGAGCTGGCCAGAGAAGGGGAGGCTTCAAGGCAGACAGGGGCCAGGAATGCAGAGGGGAGAAATAGCAGAAAGTGAGTGTTCTATGTGCAGAAAGGGGGACAGAAAAGGGGTTTGTTAAGCATGAAGGCCAGTGAGCAGAGTCAGGCCAAAGTGGAGAATCCGTGTGAGGGAGATGAGGGAAGGAGCAAGAGGATCACCAGTGGGGTGGGATGGGTGCTGAGGGTCCGGAACCCACCCTGAGGGGCTGGTGGGGTTTGTGGGCAGAGAGCAAATGTAGAGGGGAGGGGAGGCAAGAGCTTGTTAGTGTACAGCTCAAAGTGGCACTGTTCCTTAGGTTTTAAGAGAGCAAAAAAAGGCTACAGTTTGACAAGGGTCAAATCAAACTGTTGAGGTCCCAGGAGCAAGCTTGGGGCTGAATGGAAGCAGACAGTGGTGAGTTGGCCTAGGTTCTCAGGACAAAGAGGAGCCTTTGGATGCCCTTCCCTGACCCTCAGCTTCTTCTGGGAGCCACCTGTGGATTCTTGCTTATTGTGCTCTCCACCTGTTGGAGAGCAACCTACCAGAGGCTGGAACCTGCTCTGCTTGGTTCTCTCTGTTGGCCCAGGGTTCTACTCAGTGCCACGGTGTATTAGGTAGGTAATGGAGTTGAAGAAATGGCATTTGTCTTCCTCCCTACTCCCCCGGGGCCTTTGGGATTGATGATCAGGAGCCCACAGGGCAACTGAGGTGGAACCCAAGCTCCATCCCTCCTCACTTTTCAGCCAAGCTCCTGTGGCTTGGCCTCTCCTGCTCAAGTCCCCTTTCTGAACCCTAGGGCTGGATGCGGCCCAGCTCACAGGTTACCACGAGGCATTGCAGCCACCTGTGTCACAGGCACCCAGCACAAAGTGGCCAGAACTCACCAAGCGACAGCTGTGACTATTGCAACAGTGTCCATGTCCCAGGCACATGCTCTTTAAATTAGTTGTTTTCCTTACCTCTGCATGCTCCGGGTGCTTGGATGCAAAAACCCATGAGTAACCTGAATCCTTGGAGCTATAAGGATAGATTATATTTTACTGTAATGATTCATTTCCATTTTTTATTACATAACATGTGGTGCTATTCAAAAGGCTCAGAAAAAACAAATAGCAGAAACCCATCTTCCATCAAGGCCACTCCATGGCACCGTGCAAACCACAGTGCAACACCACTGCTTCTGCCCTGGCCCCGGTCCCTAGTGTCCCCTCTACAAGCAACACTGTCACCAAGCTTTTCCTCATCCTTTTAGAGATGACCCAGGTGGACCCACACAGATCATGAGTGTGTTCGTGTATATGGAATTCCCCACCTTGCCTTGTTGGCTTTACATCTTTGGCAGATTGTTTCAGATATGTGAAGAGCTGCCTCGTTTTTAGGTAGTTACATGGTGTCCCTTTGTATGGTATGGAAAGCCAGGGATTTAGCTCAGTGGTGCCATTCCTGCCTTGCAAATGCAAGGTCCTGAGTTTGATCCCTGTAATAAAACAACAACAACAATAAATCCAAATTCCTTTTTATGGTATGGATATTCTGCTGTGCTTTGAATGTTTCCCCCTCAAGCTGATGGAGATTTAATCTAATGGTGCTAATGGTATTTGGAGGCAGGCCCTATAGAGGTAATTAGGATTAGATGAGATCATGAGCCCCCCACCATGACATTAGTGGCTTTATAAGAAAAAGCTAGTTCCATGTTGTTAGACTTTAGGTCTAGATGTCCCTCCAAAACCTCTTGTGGTCTGAAGTGGGGCTTTTTCAAAGGTGGCTGAATTTAGAGTGTGTGGTTGATTCCCCATGCAGTGATAGGCGGAAGGGTCCTAGGATTAAGAGTGTGAGTGCTACTCATCCTAAGTAGTGAATAAGATAAAAGGGGCAGAAAGCCATTGTTAAGGTCCCCTGTTGCTTTTGCTGTCTTTCAGTGCCATGAACAGTTGCCCCTGTATCATGTGCCAGTCTGCCCTGGAGCCAGTCAATATGGACTGAAACCTCTACAAACTGTGAGCCAAATAAACCTTTCCCCTTTAACTTTGGGTGTCTGGTATTTTGTCTCAGCTGTAAGAAAGGTTAACTTGTTAACACATGTGATGCCCTCTGCCATGTTACATTGCACCAAGAAGGTCCTCCCTAGTTGCTGGTACCATGCTCTTGGATTTCCGAGCCTCTGGAATCTTGAATCAAATAAACTTCTATTTTTCATAAATTAGGCTGTCATGGGTATTTTGTTATAGCAATAGAAAACAGACTAAACCCTGTATTTCAGTTCATTTAGCTACTCTTCTGTACAACCAAGTCTCACTCTATTTAATCAAGCTTTATTAAGTTGTTTCCAAATTATTTCTATTACAAACAATGTTGGTCTGTACTCTACCATTTCAACCACTGTTTGAGAACATCTGTAAGAAGCATTTCAAGAACTGGATTGCTTGGGTAAAGCAGAAAACTGACTCTATAATGGTAGAAATTCAGTTATCTACATAAGTCCAGAGGAGATGTCCTTACACTGGAGTTGTGGGTATGTCAGGTCCTCCAAGGTTTGTCTGTGGGACCCTTCTTTGGTATATTTGATGTTAGGGGATAATATTTGTGGATTTGATGGTTTGTTCTCTAAAGATAAAAGAGAGAGCTCTCAACAGAAAAGTGGCTCTTTGGACAGCAGCCCAGTCGCTGTTTGGGTCTCATCTCACCCTACCTCTAGAGGAAGACACTGGGAAGAGAGAGATCTGGGCCACCCAATAGTGGCCTCACCAGAAGTCATTGTACAAAGCCTGAGATAGTAAAAATTCAGTTCCCAAGGAAATATACAGGCTCAAGAGACTCTGAGACCACAATCACCTTGGAGAGAGTAAACAGATGGCCCCTGCTGGTCCTAAGAAATACTGAGGATGTGATTCCTAACACCATAATATGGATGCATGCATGGATGCATAGATGGATGGATGGAGAATGGATGTGTGGATGGGTGAGTAGATGGATGGATGGATAGATGGATGCATGGATGGGTCAGTGGATGGTAGATAAATAGATGGGTAGATGGATGGATAGATTGATGGATAGTTAAATATGTATACATAGATATAGATAGGTAGATATCAATGAGGCAAGCCTAAATTTAGACCTGCTTTTGAATTGGGCTCTACCTACTAGTTCTGGGACTTTAGGTAATTTGTTTGAATTCTCTGCTGTATGTGCCAAAGTTGCTGTCATTTGTTACAAGTGGACATTATCTGATTGGTATATGGAGGAGCCAGTTGGTACATTGGTAGGAGCCAATGAGCACGCACTGCACCCTCTGGCCTGGGCTTCAAGGTGGAAGACTGTAAGGCAGGTGCTCTAGACCTTTCCCTCTCAGGGGGTTTGATGTCCCTCCCAGCATGCATTTCACAGGGTGGGTTCTTAGATACATTTATTTACCTCCAGGCCAAGAAAGCAATGCAAAATGCTCTTACATTTATATTGAAACAATAATAAATCAAGGAAACCAAAGGCAACATGCTACATTCTGGAGAGGTCAACAGGTACCTGTGGGCATCTCGTCTCAGTGGATTTCGGTGAGCTCCATTTCCTCCTCTGAATACAAAGCCTGCACAGCTCAAAGGCTCTGACCATGGTCCCTCCACAGTTGTGGAATGGATCTCTGGCCATGCTGAGTCCCAGGCAGAGGTGCTAAGTCCTTTGAGTGGCCCAGGACTCTCAGACATCTAGGACCTTAGCTGGTGACTCACTTGCTGGACCAGGGTGCCAGGCCTGCCAGGCCTAGGCCAATTCTCAAAGACTGGCAGACAAGCACAGCTTGACCCAACAAAGCAGCTGCTTTAGGCCACTGGGGCAGGAATTCGGCCTCTCCCCAGCCAGGCAGACTAACTGTTCTCTCCCCCATGTCTTCTTTTTTGCTGCAGCTATTAAAGCACTCTTGAGAGTTTTGAATATATCTCTCCCCCTTCCAGGGCAATCTTCTTTTTGTTTTGATTGTTAGAGGTTTTATGCAATCTCAAATTCTTTGTTAAAATGGCACTGGGGCTTACAGCACTTTCTGAGTTGAAAGCATAAATTGTTGGTTAGGAATCCCATCGGTTACTTTTCTTTAGATAGAAAAGGTTGTGGAAAGTGAGGTTTGCTCAGAACCCTCACTATGAAAACTGCCCCTAGAATCCTGTTTTTATCTATCTTATAGTCAGCCAATCATTCAACAAACACTTGAACCTTACTTTTGTATTATTATGCAAAGCCCTGGGTCTGTTTGTATAAAAATGACATAAATCATCGATAGAGGCCACCCTGAGGTGGATTTGTAGTGCAGATTTTACTAACACACTGAGGCCATATAAGAAGTCAACTGACAGGATTCCTCTGTGGGCATCATTGAGCTTTGAGACCATCTCTATTGTTAAAAATAATTTTTAAAACTTTAAAAAATGGAACTCACTCATTTGCTCACTCCATCCAAAGTGCTTTTCGGTTGTACTACATGATTAGGTTGTAGTCCATGCTCCAGATCCTGAGGAGGACACCCAGTGTGGGTCCCTGCCTTCGAGCACTGGGGAAAGAAAGGAGCGCAGGGTCCAGTCCAATATTCTGTCAGTGTGACTCCAGGCCAAGTGAGTGGTCCCAAGAATGTCCCCAGAATGGGCAGGGCCCAGAAAGCCTCTTGGCTGCTCCACAGAGGTGGATTCTGAGCTGCATTTGAGGACCAAAAGGGCTTTCAGAGAGGGAGTGAGAGGCTGAGTCGTCAGAATTAGGAATTTCCCATGAGAAACTCAGCCCAGCCCAGCATGAGAACTTGCTCCAAACAAGCCCGTCCCTGGCAGCTCCAGAGGTGGCATCCACTGCTGACCCTGTACCTTGCAAGAGGCTGTGCCTTCTGACTAGTCCTCTCCTCCATTCCCCACATTCCTTGCAGCCCATTTAAGGGTAGCCTGATACCTTTCACAGTCTGCCCTAGGTCCTGCCTTCCCTCTGACATAAAGCGCTTGACTCTACAAAGAAAGCAATTACCAGAAATTGGAACAACTAGGGGTAGGTAGTGCTAGCTGCTTCAAAAATAATCCTGGCTGGGTATGGAGGTCCATAACTGTAATCCTGGGAGGCTGAAGCAAGAACATCACAACTTTGAATCCAGCCTGGGCAACTCAGCAGGATTCTGTCCCAATAAAGAATAAAAAACATGGCCTGGGATTTAGCTCAGTGTTCCACCGTCTGCCTCGCAAGAGCAAGGATACTAGTTCCATCCCTGGTACAAAAAAAGAAAAGAAAAAAGAAAAAACAACAAAAAGAGGAGGGTGGCTGGGGGTGTAAACAGTCTTAGAAATACCAAGATTTTGTTTGGGGCCAGAAATTCCAAGGACTTCTAGCTATTGCATGGAGCAATGCTATTAGCTTGAGGTACTATTTAATGTCCCAGAACGAGCTGGCATCTTGGGCCAGATTCCAGGTGTGGATCTTCACTAGGGGATCTACGGCCACCCGCCCCTGCTTGGTCACCTCAGCCACATATGGAGAAGTGCCTGTGGGCTCAGAAGATGAGAGAGGTTTTCCTCCCCGGGAAAAGTGCCCCCGGGTTATGCTGCATCCTCCTCTGATTTTGATTCAGACTAAGCCTTCCCACCCTGGACTGGCCTCACTCTAAGGGTTGCATCCATCTCCCCACTGTCTCCCAGAGAACACCAAGGGTCCTACAAGAAAGAACACATCACATTTGTCACTGCGCTGTCTCAGCCAAAATTCACACACACACAAAAAAAAAACCAAAAAAAAAAAAAAACAAACAAAAGTTTAACACCGTAATTCCCACAGCTCCATACCAAGGCTGGGATCAGTGGCATGGTTCTTCTCTCTAGCTGGTGGCCTCCGGGCTGGATCATCCAAAATGTCCCTCCCTCACATTTTGGGGACCCCTGGGACAATTGGACAGGTGAGCTTAACACTTCTTCCCCTCCTGTGAAGCTTTTCCAGTAGTGACAACCAAACTTCTCTGCATGGTAGCTCAGGACCCCAAGAGAGAACATTCCACGGAGACAAGCCTTAGTGTATAAGTGTATACAAGACACTCACTGATGTCCTGCGGGCCAGTGCAAATCCCATGGCCAAGGGCAAGGGCAAGGGTGACACTGGGATAACATCCCTGTGAACTCCCAGAAGCATGATTAATAGAGAAGTCACCAAGGTAAGACTGTGTCCCAAGCCACTATACACAATCAGCCGCCACTAGCCCCAGGTGACAGCTGCTTGCTGGAACCTCACAGGGACAAAGGCACAGAGCAGCCAGAAGCTAAGGCCCCAGAGACAGCCATGAGCTGGGCATGAGTCCCAGCTTTGCCCCTCACTTAGCTGCAGAGGTGTGGGTGAACTGAATGACCTCAGTCCTCATCTCCACAATGAAAGTAGCCTCAGACTTCCCACCGGGACCCTCCGGAAGGCCACCGAGCTGAGGAAAGGAGCTTGGCCCTTGGCACCTGCCGCTGTGAAATGTTTCAGGATGAGAGCAGCTCATTTACCAAAGAGTCCAACTCGGAGCTGTCTTCTGGGACTTTCAACCAGTTTAAGAGCCTTCAAGGAGGTTTTGTTTTCTTGTTACTAAGTTTTTAAAAAATTGATTTTGAAGGAAAAAGCTCAGAAAAATCGTTCCATTTCGCTCCACAAAGAGGAAGTGTCATGAGTTTAACTGAAGCCCAGGACACCTGGGGTGTGTGAAGCCCTCCAGGCTTTTAAGGGAGGCCCGGTGGCTTCGTCCCTCCCCCAAAAGGGACGTCAGAGGCCTCTATTCTATATCCTGCTGCTGATGGTGACAACACAGACTTTTCTATTCATCTCTAGTGGTGGAGACAAACAAAACCTAAACCCAGTGCCCCCTACAGAACATTTAATTAAAAAGGAAACAAAATAGTTTTGTGCCTGTAATGCCTCCACAATTTATTGTATCAAAAGTGCAATTTTTCCTCACAACAGGCTCTGGTGGGTAGGGAAGGGAACCCCTCTGAGCTGCCTTCTTCCCTCCACCTCGCTCCTGAGGCGGAAGGTGCTAGGGCTGGTGATGGAGCGGTCTCATCACCATGGAGGCCCCATGCCATGGCCAGGTAGATTTGTCGGTGACAGAATGGGAACAACTCCAGTTCAAATCCTGCCTATGCCTTACACTGGCTGTGTGACCCTGGGAAAAATCACTTAGTCTGTCAGAGTTTTATTTCTCTGAATGATTAAATGTGCAAATTACCTAGCACAGAGACCTTGGAACATCATAAGCACTCAATAAATATCAGCTAACAATATTATTGCAGAAAAGAAATATCCGGATGTTGATACAGCAACAATTAGGAGAATTGTCTTTAAGGTTATATCTTCAATAAGGCATAATTACTTTTTTTCTTTGGAGTGGTCTCAGTCTTAGTCCATTTTCTGCTACTAAAACATAATACCGAATACTGGCTAATTTATAAAGGAGAAACCTTTATGCTGATCTATAATTTTGGAGGCGGGGGAAGCCAAGAGCCTGGAGCCAGCATTTGGCAAAGACCTTGTGCTGCTTCAACTCATGAGAGAAAGCAGAAGGCAAGCAGGTGCGTGCCAAGGACAGCCAACAGCAGGGGTGCATTTCCTGTACAACTACCTGCTCTTGTGGGAACCGAACCAGTACCATGAGAGCAAGAACCACCCACAAAAGAAGGCCTGTGTCCATTCTCCAGGATCTTGCAACACACTAGGCCTCATCTCCCAACACTGCCACCCGAGAAGCCACGTTCCGACACTCAATTACGTAGCCTTAATTTTTGAACACTGAGAACAACAGAGAAGAAAATTAAAGTCACTTTCAGCCTTGTTACCTAGAGACAACCAGGATTAAAGTGTAAATACGTTTTCTTGTAGTTCTTTCTCTCATCAATTTTATACAAAGAATGTGTCAAACACACCGTTTTGCTACCTAGCATTGTTCCTTTAACAATGCGTCACAAATATGTTTAATGTAATCAGTATATATTTCTTCTGTACCATAATTTCAAATATCTTTTTTTTTTTTTTTTTGGTACTGGGGATCTAACTTGGGTCCTTGCTCTAGGGAGGCAGGCAGTGGAACCACTGAGCTAAATCCCTGGCCCTCAGATATCTTTATAGGATGTGTCTGATTAGGATTCCATTGAAGGAATGTGGGCCCAACCCCTGCTCCCTGAGTGTTGATGTGTTAGATAGTGTACATGCGTGAACTTGCTGAGGTGTCTTTGAGGTAGAAATGATTGTACTCATCTTGCAGATGGAAAAAGTGAAGCTGAAGATGAAGAGCCACTGCCTGTGCTCACGGTCAGAGGCAGAACCAGATCCAAGCTCAGATTGGTTTCCCTCCCAGACCAACACACTTACAATCCCAGAGGACAGCTGGCTGCCTCCGAGGAGGTTAATGGTGTTGTAAGTGAGGGTCTTCCTCTCCAGCTCTGTTAAGCCTGCTCTGTCAAAGAGAGAGTCAAAGATTCTGTGTGCCTGCTCAGTCAACAGCCAATCTGCCCAAACAGAAGGCAGCAACAGCCTCTTCCCCAGAAAGGATAACCAAGTGGCCATTAGCTATCAGGGCAATGCACGCTGCTAGCACGTGGCTCCCAGAATGGCTGACATGAAAAAGACAGGCTTCCCAAGCACCGCAGACAGCACCGGTGACAATGTGAGTTGGTCCAGCCACTTTAGGAAAACTGCCTGCAGTGTCTTACTAAGGCTCACTCTTTATCCGCCCTGCAACCCCAGGTATATGCCACACATTTATGTCCCCAACATGCGTGTTCTAAAATGTCCATGGCAGCTACTCTGGTAATAACCCAAGCTGGACACTCCTCATGTGTCCGCCTGCAGCAGGCTTGGGTGAGTACCTGTAGCATAAATAAACCACACATCAGTGACAGCGAACCACTACTGTAAAATACACAAGCTGCATGAATCTTCCAAGCACACTGCTGAGTAACAGGAGACGCACAAGACATGTGGCGTGTGATTATAGTCTGTGAAGTCCAAAAGCAGGCAAAGGTAATATGCAGTGTTAGAAGTCAGGGTAGTGGACACCCTTAAAGTGGGTAGAGGTTGGCGGGAGAAGGAAGGAATGTTTCTGGGGTGCTGATAATGTGTTCTCTCTCTCTCTCTCTCTCTCTCTCTCTCTCTCTCTCTGTCTGTCTCTTTCTCTCTCCCTCTCTCTTTCTGGTATCTGGGATTGAACTCAGGACCTTGTGCTTGCGAGGCAGGGGCAGTGCCACTGAGCTACATTCCCAGCCCCCATGTTCTGTCTCTTGATGAATGTTGATCACGTGGGTGTGTTCATTTTGTGAAAATTCATCAGCCTGTGCACTTAGGTACAATTTCCTGGGTGCCTCTAACGCTTTTACCAAAAGAGGAATTAAGCAGCAGCAACTGATTGTGCATTTGTCCCTCCTCCCACGCCACCCAGGACTCCACTGAGCTGGCATAGTGATCCTGCCCAGGTCCCTGGCACCAGCTTTCCAAAGGTTCTGTCAGGCCAGCCATGGTCTTTGTCCCTGCTGGTCCAAAGTGAGCCAGAGACGTGGATGCTGCCTGCCCCAGTCCGGTGCTGTTCCCAACATCAAGCAGAGAGCCTGGGTCTCATCTGGCCGTGGTCAGATGCTACAGCCAGGTACTTCTTCACCGGGGGCCTCTGGGTCCAGCCTCAGGGACCCTGGAGAGCCTGCACAGAGCCCCACGCGTGCCTATTGCTCAGGAGCAAGCCTCCCTCCCCACCATTCCCACTTCATCCTCCGTGCCTACCCCACCCCAGGCCCCTGCCCCACGCTTTCTAAGAAAGTCCAGCCTAGAGAAATCCCAAGAGCACTGCAGTCTGTCACTTTGTCACCCAAGCCAGAAAGCTGCTTGCACAGAATTCAGAAGAGAAACACATGTGTTGCCAACAGCAGGCATCAGTACTGTGGGGTGCGTTGGCCCTGACTCTTAGACTGGGAAGTGCCCCCATCCCTGAGTCCAGTTACCCATTGTTAACTGAGATACAAAGATATTACATGAAAAATTCCAGAAGCAGAAAAGTTAGTTTTAAATGACTTTTTTTGCCATGCATTGTATTAAAATAATTTTATTTTATTTTAATTGTTAATTTCTTACAAACTTTAAACTTCATAAATGAAACTTTATCATAGGTATGTATATGTAGGAGATAACAGGTATATATAGGAGATAACAGGTATATGTGGGAGATAACAGGTATATGTGGGAGATAACAGGTGTATGTGGGAGATAACAGGTATATGTGGGAGATAACAGGTGTATGTGGGAGATAACAGGTATATGTAGGAGATAACAGGTGTATGTGGGAGATAACAGGTGTATGTGGGAGATAACAGGTATATGTAGGGCTTGGGACAGCTACAACTTCAAGCATCCACTGGGGGCTCTCGTCTATGGACGGGGGGCTTCGGTATGACGGTCTCATAAATTGCCCTGGGATTCTGCCTCTCCGGTAAGTCCTCATCTCTCCCACTAGGCCAGCACCCTCCCTTGCCTAGACTATCCATTGTCTTGACTGTTCCCTTCCTTAGTCTTGTCCTCTCCTCCTCCTGCCCCATATTCTATTCTCCCCATCAGGGTGGGGTTTTCCAGGTCTGAAACTGATCGTGTGACTGTCCTATTATCATTCAGGGCCTGCCTTGCCTAGGCACCTTAAGGCCCACCTCAGGAACGGTGGTGACCCAGCTCTGGCTCAGCTTTTCCCCTGATCCTAACACTCCAGGCAGCCCTAGTCCTCAAGCAGACGGAAAGCTCCCCAGGGGTGTCCTGTCATCATTAGGCGGACTATAAGCATGGGAGGGTTCTGCAGAAACCTTACATCTCTCCCTGGTACCTCTTGCACCACCAGATTGAAGACTCCTAGAGTGCCCTGGCAATGTGGTATATAACACCTTCATTTTTTCATATACTGCTGCCTCTGCCTAAATATGCTTCCCTCCAACTGGTAAGCTCCTATTTATTCCTCATGACCCAGCACCTCCTCCATCATGAGTATGCTAATCAGTTTTCCATTATTGTAACAAAATACCTGTGATAAACAACTTACAAGAAGGAGAGGTTTATTTTGGTTTAAGGTTGCAGAGGCTCAGTCCATGGTTAGCTGTATTGTTTTGGCCTCTGGTGAGGCAGCACATCACAGAGGAAATGCATGGTGCTCACCTCATGGTGGCCAGAAGGAAGAGAGAGGAAGGAGCCAGAGATATGATATACCATTCAAAGATGCTCCCACTGACCTAACTCCCTTCCACTAGGACTGTGCCCTTCACTCTGATATATCAATTTCATTGGATTAAGAAATACCTAGCAGATTAGTAACACTACTGGCCGTGCCTGGGTGGGTCATGGAGGTGTGACCTTGGGTACTATATCTGGTCCCTTGCCCATTCCTCTCTGGCATTGTTTCTCTTCTCTGCTTCCTGGACACCATGAATTTAGTACTTTTGTCCACACCCTTCTCCCTTGAGGGTTCTACCTTGGAGCCGGCTAACCATGGACTTAACCTCCTGAAACCATGAGCTATATTAAACCTTTCCTCCTATAAGTTGTGGGTTTCAGGTACTGTTTCTCCACAATGACAAGGCAGACTAATACAAAAACTCACCTTATAAATACTCCACAACCCCACCACAGGCTAGGGAAATCTTCAACACAAGGGTCCTTGGGAGAATATTCAATATCCAAACTATGACAATAGTAGAAAATGGATTTCTCCAGGCTCCGAGTCACTCTTCTACTTAGACTACTAACATGTACTGATCTGTATTACAGCTCTCTGGTTTCAACTCTGTCTCACTTTCCATGGTAGGATAACCAGCTGTTTAAGTTCTGGGAAGGGGTCCTCTCCATCTGCAGAGCCCCAGCAGGGAGTAACGCTGTAGGAAATGCTTTCAGAGCTAGTGAAGGTTATAACTACAGGCTTTCAACCCTGCAGGAGATTTCTCTAAGGAAAGAGAAATGTTTCATCCCCTCCTCTGAGAGGTTCCTTGGTTCTTTGTAGTCTATTGGTCCTGTGGCCATGGCAGACAGGGCACCATTGTTTTTTTCCTGTTTTGTGGCTAGTCTCAGGCTGAGGTTATAAGAATTACAGTGAGATGGGAGTCAGGGGCTATATTATATGCATGCTGATTAAATAGCTCCTAACTGGTCAGATTCTCAGGAAGCCTGCAAAGCCCACTGCCACAATCCATGTTCCCTGCCTTAGCAACTGCCTGAAATTTCAGCACTAGACATCTCCTTCACTCTTACCAGTCCTTTTATTTATTTGGTTGGTTGGTTGGTTGGTTTTTTTGGTACCGGGGATTGAACTCAGATCCTGTGCTTGTGAGGCAGGCGGCAGAACCACTGAGTTAAATCCCCAGCCCTCACCAGTCCTTTTAACAACTGCATTGTCCTCTAGATATGGTAGCACAAGTCCAGGCCAGGGTACATACTGAGTTCAAGGCACCCCCTTACATAGCATGACCATGTAAAAAAAAGCATACTGGGGACCATATTGAGAGTCTGAGAGCCTGCAAGCTTTCCACCGTGTCTCTAGGACAGGTTGTCCCCACTTCGGGAAATCCCTGCACAGGCTGCCTGTCCTTACTGGAGGACTACTGGGAGCAGCTGAAGGACGTGGTGACCTCTGTCTTGGACTGCAGCTTCTCTCCGGAAGAGGCCTCAGAGAAGTCCAAGCTCTCCAGAGGAGACTCAGCAGGTCACAGTCACTCAGGAGCATACAGGGTAAAATCGCAACCTACCAACTGGGGCAGAATGGCCCGAAGATGTGGATCTACTTGCTTTTGCCTCTGGAGGAACAGCACCGGCACAGGAGGCAGAAAAATTAAGCTGCAGCCCCAGCTCAGCCACTTGCTAGCTGTGTTATACAGGCAAAGCTGTTACCCTCTCTGAGTCAGCCTCTCTCCTAGCCACATCTGATACCGCGGTGATAGCCCCAACACTAACCCTAACCCTAAATTGTAGTGCTTCTTGGGAATTTATTGCAGCTACATCAACTAAATTTGTTTGGCATTCATTGGGCTCTTTTAATTTAGGGCACCTCAGAGAGATTTGGAAAATCCTCCCTGGATTGGGTGCATGTCACCTCGCGGAGAATGTGGCTGGCTCCATCAAAGCCCAGGATTTGTGACAGAGCCTCAGCAGGGCCTCTAGCTGCTGCACTATCTCAGAAAGCTGGGTCACGTTCTTGGCTGGAGGTGGCTGCTGGTAGTCACAAAGGCAGCCTGGTGCCCTTTCCCGGGATGTGCCTGCCTTGGGTCCCGCCTTCCCACTGAGCTGCTGAGCTTTTTCCAGCTGTCACCTGACAGGGGTCAAGAACTAGAGTCCCTCACTCCACTGGGCCATCCTGGATGCTGTTTGGAAAAGCCTGAGAATTCACTCTGCCAGATAAATGGCAGCCACAGCAAATGGCCTGGCACTCAGATTGGAGATTGCATCCTGAGCCCTGGGGAATCTATTAAGTCCTAGTTTGGTCTCCCTCCAGAGAAGCCTGAGTTACCTTTAATCAGAAACTAGGCCACCCACGGGCTGTCATCGCCTTTCACAGAGAACTGGGCACTCTAAAGGTTTTCTTCAAACTAGTGAGGAACAAGGTAGAGCCGCAGCTGCTGGCCGGGACGCAGGGCAGGGCAGCCCATGATCACACCATCATTTGTAGCAAGAAGAGTGGGGAAGGCCTCTTGGTTCACCACGAAGCCGCTCATTTGGAATGAAGAAACTGAGGCCTAGAAAGAGAGAGAGAGTCTTGCCCAAGTGCCACAGCCAAATGAACCCCAGAACCCCTGGCTACAAGAGGTGCTGCCCATTGGGGAAGCTTTCAGAGACCAAGAAAGCATCCCCAGTCAGTGCTCAATATGGCTGCTGTTGCTTTTTCACAGCACTTCACAGCACTGCCCCCATGGTTACCAAATAGCTGTCAGTCTAATATTTGAGCCTCTGCCCTACGGCTCCTGGATGTGGGGGATGTCCAGGCGGCCATCTTGAGTTCCAGTTGAGGGCTGGACAGGATGAAGCCACCCCACACAGCCTCAGGAGCACTGTCTGGCTCTGAGTGGCTCTTTCCTTTGCCCTCTCCCCATCCCAGGTGTTGCTATGCCGACACCAGGCTGGCAGGCTCACCCAGGTTCCATCCTGCTTCTGCCAGGGTGGCAACAGAATGCCCTTTAAGAGCAGCCAATGCTGCCCCAGTGGATTACGGTCCTGGCCATCCCCTAAATCCTTCATAAGCCTCAGTGCTGGCACCAGAAACACTCACAGCAAGGGAATAAGCATGAGAGCAGAGAGTGATTCAGGTCATCCTGGGCAACTTCTTCTGAGGCAGGAGCACAGCAGAACTCAGTGACCTGGGGATCAGGCCTGTATCTCTTGCACAGAAACTGGAGGAAGAGCAGACACAGTCTCTTCCCAGGAGGTTCCGGGCCTTAGGTCCCTCTGCCTATGACTGTCATGGCCCCTTGAAATCCATGGAGAAAATTCAGAGGGTCCATGCAATTGGACAGGGATTTTTTTTTAAACTTTATAATTTCAAACTAAAATCTAGCATTTCTTCCCCTTATGATTGTCAGCAAACCCTGTAACTTTGTGGGTGTCCAAAAAAAAAAAAAATCATAGACATCTACACATCATATTACAGTTTTTCCTGGTATCACAAAAAATATCCCATATGTTGATCATCACTTCAAAATCACAGTGGTAGTAGGTTTGCTGTTTTGTTCCTTAAGCTGTTGAAGAAAAAGCATGCGTATTGCTATATCCCATTCTCCTAGAATTTTATAACCGTTTTTACAATATAATTGGATCCCTCGAGAATCCTATGAGTTTTTTTTTTTTTTTTTTTTTTTTTTTTTTTTTTTTTATGTGATTAACAGCACATAGCTACACCAGACTACTAAAGGGGTCACGGCACATGAAAAGTTAAAATTCCCAATTGTTAACCAGTAATTACCAGCAAACTTCCTCACCTCTATGTCATCTAAAAGTAGAAGGTGTATTTTTATAACAGCTACTGGAACCTCCTTTGTGCAGCTGCCTTGAACTCTGGGTGGATCTAGGCTAATTTCATTTTTTTAAACATTTTTTGCTTGCTTCGTCAGTCAGCAGTGCCTTGCACCACTGTAGCTGGTTTCCTGATGCCCCCTAGTGGTCACAGCGAAGCCCATTCCCAAGGACAAACTGAAAAGCTGTTGTAAGTCACTTGTTCCATGGTGGGTGATCAAGGACAATTCATCCACATCAGTCACCCAGGTCAGTGTTCACCCTCAATTATGATTCTGACAGTGTCCCTTGGACTGAGAAGTGTCCAGGAACTCTTTCTGTTCAGGGTTAAGGAGTAAAGATCCTGGATGGGGCCCAGAAATTCCAGCAGCAGGAACAGAACTGTGGGTACAGAGGCCCCCAGGTATAAGAACCCACTGGCAATCTTTGATAAGCACAAAGTTCTTGTGAACTTCAACTGATCTTGGGGTGGGGGGAAGCAGGGCGTGGCAGTAGGACTCTGTCCCTGGATGTGAGCTTAAAGTGACCTCTAATCTAGGCAGTCTGTCAGTGGCATATGTGGTCAAGAGCAGGCTTTGCTCAAAACTTTCAAACTGAAATCCATTGATCTAAAGCATTAACTCAATATGAGAGTGAGTGAACCCATCCAAGGGTGAAGAGTGAAGATCTAGAAGGTCCCCAGGCTGAGGACAGTTTGGGGACAGTGCTGCGTGAGAGCCAACATCCCATCCCCTGTACCTGAACTTGATCAGCTGTGTAACAAAGAGCACCTTGCATTCCATGACAACATGATCAGCATTTGCTGCCATCATCAAAGAGCTCAGGAGCACCCCTGGGAAGGTTTCTGATGAGTTCTTTTCTCCTTAGTGGTCCTGATACACCCACCTTCACTGTCATCATCAGCATTTTGAGGGCAGCCAGGGTTTCTGGTACTGTTAGTGGTAAGCAACAGAGTTTAGATCTGTGTGATGTGACTCAGTCTGCGTAATGGTAAACTCACAAATATGGCTTTGTTAGCAATCTGTGCAAAGAAAGAGTTGGGCTAGATGTACCCAAGTCTCCTTCCAGGCATTGTGTAACCCAGGGTTGAAATCCCAGGTTCCAAAACCATACTGGGCAATGTGGACTGTAAGTTATGAAATGTCCTGGGTGGTTAAATCCTCTATTCCTGTTCTCCATCTCCTCCCCCTACTTGGATGGTACCTTCCAGGAGAGTTACATTTCCTTTTTTCACCTGCAAAATTGTTGGGAATCAAAGCACTTTATAAACCTGACTATGGCAGTCACGTGGCAGGTCAATCAGGGGGTGAACCAGTGTTCTGGCCTTCTCAGCTGACCAGTCCTGAAGCTATCGGCAGCTGCAGTGTGTTGGGGAACTTAGGGACCACTACTGTGGTGTAGGAGAGAGCTTGGGTTCTTGAAAGCATAGGCTTACAGGGCACTGATTTAAAAAATAAAGCCAGAGAACAAGACACAAACATAGGTCTAGAGCCTTCCATGAGTAGCTCTCTGGTTTCCTTCTTTAAATCCCAGGTCTGGGTCTTCTCACCAGAGTAGCTTGTCTTACAGTTACATTTGTTTCCATTGAATATACTTCCATTTCCTGAAGAATCACAACCCATTGTAACAGAAGAAACAACCTTCAGCCTGCCTTTCTGAAACATTTCAGAGGTTGGTAGAGCCTTGAAAACAAACTGTAAAGTCAAGAAATATAACTAGATGAACCATTTTATATAACACACACAGTATACATTAGTGACTGGTTCCTGGACCCCCTTTGGATACCAAAATCCATGAACGTTCAAGTACCTTCTTATGAAATAGTAATATTTGCATATAATCTATGAAATCCTTCTCTGTGTGTGTGTGTGTGTGTACATTTTTTTTTTCTGTACAGGGGATTGAACTCAGGACCTTGCACTTGCAAGGCAAGCACAGTGCCACTGAGCTAAATCCCTAGCCCTTCTCCTGTATATTTTAAATCATCTCTAAATTACTTACAATACTGATTACAATGTAAAGTTATACAAATAGCTGTTATACTATATTGTTTAGGGAATAATGATAAGAAAAGTGCACATGTCAACAGAGACTGTATTTTCTTCTTTCAAATATTCGCAGTTCACAATTTGATGGATGCAGAGGGCTGATTACTATAGTCAGTACATATTTTTTCCCAAAGGCCTGCAATGATATCACAACAAAGAGACATACAGGGATGCCTGCAAAGACTCACAAGAAGATAGGCATGTGGTAGAAATATTAAAAAGAATAACTATTCCACGGATCATAGATGCTGGAAAATTCTGGCCAGGTCAGCCATAATTGCATTAGAAATAATATAATTTAGTATTATAGTACTTCAATTTATTTTGAAGGAAGTCATGAGAGTTTATCAGTCAGAGTGTCCTTATGACAGGGAGGAATTCTGTAATAATCTTGATGAGGTATTCCGAGACTCTATGCACAGGATTCTACACATTCTTCTACATCCCATGTATGTACTGAGCACCTACTGTGTGCCAGGCATGAGCCCAGACCCTGGGGATTCAAAGCTGCATGAGATAAGATGGGGTTTTCAGGCCCAGGGATTCAGCTCAGTGGCACCACACCTGCCTCGCAAGTGCAAGGTCCTGAGTTCCATCCCAGGTACCAAAAAAAAAACAAACAAAACAAAACAAAAAAATAAAAACACAAGCATCCCAGACAGTGAATAATAGCTCTTCAAGTTTGCAATAAAAAATGGCCTCCAATAAAATGACAGTGCAGAAAAACGGGAAAGAAACAAAATGGAAAAAATTAAAAAGTTGAGGAAGCAGAGCCTGAAGAATTTGTGGTAGAAAAGTGCCGGACTGTAGTGTAGCGAGTGGGAAGGTGGAGGGCGGGATATACAGAGGCCGACCATACATGGGAGCCTGAAGAAAATTCAGATTGTCCAGAATTATTGGAAGCGCTTCTTAATTCTCAAAAAGATGATGGTACAAAAAGAAACGCTTCATCTGACGGTGAATCTGAGGGTAGCAAATCAAAGAGGAAAAAGCTGCTGCTGACAAACCCAGAGGATTGCTAGAGGTCTCGATCCTGCACGGATCATCGGTGCCACAGACAGAGTGCAGAGCGGATGTTTATCCTGAAATGGAAAGGTTCTGAGGAGGCTGACTCGGTGCTGGCGAAAAAGGCAAATATGGTCTGTCCTCAAACTGCAATTGTTTTTTATTTATTTTGGGGGATTTTTTGCTTTTTTTTTTTTTTTTTTAAATTGGGTTTTTTTGAGACAGGGTCTCACTATGTAGTTGAGACTGACCTGGAACTCACTATGTAGCCCAGGTTGGTCTCGAACTCACAGCAATCCTCCTGCCTCAGCCTCCCAAGTGCTGAGATTACAGGCGTGCAACACCACGCCCGGCCTTGTAATTGCTTTTTATGAAGAGAGATAACTTGGCATTCTTGTCCTGAAAATGAAGCTCAGTAACTTACATCATATGTAACTCAGTAACATCATATGTAACTCAGTAACTAACATCATATATGTATATATATATATATATATATACACATACATATATATGTGTGTGTGTGTCTGTGTATGTATATGTATATAATATGTTTCTTGGTTTTTATTTACTAGTGTGAAAAAGCCCTCATTCTAATGAAAATCAAGTTTAATATGTTGGTTTTGAAAATAGCATCTGGGGAAGTTGTTGGGTTTTGTTCATTTTGCATCGATAGCACTGGTTACTTTGAACAAATAAGAAGCTTTCTGTAGTTGCTTCCTTCGTCAGAAAACAGCGTTGATAGCCTCATTTATTTCCTCTGCTTTTCTAAGTACTGGGGAAATCATCCATAGTCAAACTCAAACAGAACTCATTTTTAGCTCTCATGCTGAAGGACCAGTCTGAGTTTTTCTGTTTGGGTGTGTAAAAACGAAATACGTATGCAAATGGTTTTGGTTTTGTTTTTAAACATTCACCAAAACAAAAACTATGGGTGATAAGCCCATGTGTGAGATGCTGTCGTTCTGAGCAACCTAGGAAATAAATCACTTACAGTTAAATTGAAAGTTTTCCTGAAGCCATAACCTTTCAAGTTAATTAGATGATTCTGTGGTTAATTGGACAAAGTGGGTATTTTCAAAGCATCCGTATCTGTGTCTTTAGTCACAAAAACACAGCAATTCGCTTGCAAAATTCCTGAAAAGAAAAACTGTATCATTGCCAACAACTTCCCCACCCAAATAAAGTAACTAGCCTAAACCTGGTTTATTTTATTTAGCTAAGGAAGAGTTGTTACGGGAACATTAAAGATTCCTCATGACCCATTCCCTTACAAGTTGAAATCTACTCAGAGCCAGGACCCATGCATGTCTAAGACTTTGCTCACTGAAACCTACTGAGTGGCTTGAGGTGGTCACAATTTAGAACGTGCTAGAATAAATGAGTGAACAAATTTATAGTCTAAATGATTGACCTGAATGTTTTTCTTGACCCCCAACTTGTTCCTTATATATAGGCTTAATCTTTTCAGTATTTGGGTTACTGTTTCAACAGAAGCCAGAAAAATAACTTTGCAGTAGTCAGAATGTTATCTGATTGTATATTGTTTACTTTATTATAAATAATGGTGAGCAGTGGTCCCTAAATAGTTTTATATTCCTTTTTTTGAAAAGATGGGGCTTTCAGGGAATGTGCGGCCATTTCTGAGGATGTATGGAGGATGTGTGTACATACACCCACATGTATGCAGTAAGTGTGTTTCCCTCAGCCATGGGAGATGCCCTGAAAAATAGCTCTCAACTGTCGACGTCCCAACACCCAACCCTTTAGTGCTGCTGATGAGAGTGTCCTTGATCTTACATAACGCTAAATAACATCATCGGTTAGGGGCAGCCTGGGACCACTCTCAGACTTCTAGTTACAACAGATTAATTGCTGCACACTGTCCAACAGATGGGGACAGAACCGTGGGTCACGCTCCGAGTTGACTGTTCTGCTGTGGGCTTGACTTCCGAGTGACCGCTTTTACTGCTGTTTGTATCCATCAACCCCGTGAGGTCTTCTGGTCTAAAAGTTGTGTATTCACCATTAGGGTAACCTTCTGAAGTTGGCTGACTCCAACTTTCCATGAAATCTAAAACGTTTCACTGTTTGTTGTGAAATTCAAGACATTGTTTTTTACACTGAATGCCTATTGTGTGCAAAGCACTATGTGGGATTTTAAGATGAATAAGCAATGGTTCCTCTTCTCAAGCAGCCTCCTTCAAGGAGAAGTCCACTTTGGAAGGAGTAGAGGTAGAGCACTTGCAGAAAATAAGGAGGCAGAAAGGGTGAATTAAGAAGAGTAAGCATCAAGCACAAGGATCCAGGCACCAAGAAAAATTGTAAGAGGCAGTGCCTGGCACAGCACTGTGAACCATCATTTAGTGAGGGTTCATTCTGTATCAGGCACTCTGCCGAACACATTTATGTGCATTTTCCAATCTAGAACTGGCAACAACCAGAGGAGACATTATCGTTATTGCATAATTGAAGAAAGCGGTGTAGAAAGGGTAAAGTTACATCTCAAACTCAAATGCAGTCACCATGCTAAAGCTACTTTTTGGGTTTTTGGTTTGTCGGTTGGTTGGTTGGTTGGTTGGTTTGGGAGGTGTGTTGGTACCGGGGATCGAACTTGGGACCTTGTGCTTGCGAGGCAGGCAGCAGAATCACTGAGCTAAAGCCCCGGTCCTACTTCTTAATAACTATGCTGCAATCACCATGTGGCCAGTAATCCTAATAGGGGAAAATGTTCTTAAAGAACAAAATTAGCAAAAACCAAAGCAAGACTGTAAATGCCAGGAGAAAGAAATAGAAGTGACGTTCACAGAGGGAACCAAATCTGACATTTGCTAGAAAACAAAGCAAAATGGCCTCATACATTGTAAGAGCTCAGTCAGTGTTATGCGTAGCTTCAGCTGATGGGCTGTTCAATAACTTCATTCTAGCCATGGCTGTACCTCATGTATTCTGCCACACTAAACTCGTCTTTACTTTTCCGGAAGTTGGAGGCAAATGTTTAAGCAGGACTTGACTTAGCCCTAAGCCAGCTTGTTCCGACTGGGTGCCAGCACGCAGTACAGGGAGCGCTGTTGGCAGAGTCTATACCTGGATGTCATGGAGCCCAGCCACAGCGGGCAAGAAGAGAGTGCACTGGGCATGGAGGAGGACTGACCTCAGCCCCTCCTGTTGTGCACTGCAGAGGCTCCACTGGCTTTCACCAGTGTGCCAGGTTACACAATCATGACCTATCTGAAAGACACAGAGACTCCAGCCCAGTGACTCACCCCCAAGACTGTTCCAGAAATCTATCTCATTTCCCAAGACCCTTTGCACCACAGCATTGTGTCAGCTTCAGCCGTTCAGAAGCTCAGAGAACTAGAGTTGACAATTGCCAGACAGGCAGGTAAAAAACAATGAAATGAAACAAAACACCAAAGCATTTATACCTAATGACCTGAAAAAGTTTGTCTTTGTTATAATGGTTAGTGGAAATGGCAAGAGTCAAGGGCTGGGGGTACAGCTCACTGGTAGGTGGCTTGCTCAGTATGCACTAAGGCCCTGGGTTCCATTCCAGGGACCACACATACACAAAAGCAGGAAGTGTCTATAATATGATTTTTTAAAAATGCTTGTATTACTCATGAATACCAGAAAGTCTAGAAGTGCATGGACTAAAACACTGCTGCTGATGGTCTCTGTGTAATGGGATTGTGGGTAACTTTTGTTTCCTCCTTTATGTTGCTCTAAGTGTCAACACTAAAATGTGAAGAAGTGTGAGGGGTGAGTATATCGGCTGGGCACGCTGCCCAGAACCAAGTAGGCAAGAAAAGAGGGAAGACAGTTCCAAGGTAGGCAATAGCCACCATTTTCTTTTAATACATATATTAGGTGGGAGATGTATCTTGTGGTAAGAGCCCTTGCCAAGTATGCATGAGGCCCAGGATTCAATCTCCAACGCTGACCAAAAATAAATAAATAAATAATAAAATTATCCACGTGCGTAACAATTAACCATCCCCCATCTTCCCCTTTTGGGCAAGTGTTCTGGGGTTAAGCATAAAATAGCTTTTTTAAAAATCTGGGAAGTAGGCATGGGTGTAAGGATGCTTTCCTCTTTGGGGATCCCACCAAGCAAGACAGTGACAGCCTCACGGTACTTTGTACCGACATGTAGATTATATGCTGCATCTCAGGGAAAGGACAGCTTTCTCATACTTTGGAAGCCCTTGGCTTTCTGGGCTTAGGACAGCTCTGGGGGAATCCCAGCCGGTCTGCTGGTCCCAGTTGGGAAGAGTTCTGCTCAAAGTGGTGTGGGGGCTCTGACTTCTAGCTGCGGGTCCATTTAGCAACTCACTGTCTAACCCGAGGCCGCCGGCAGAGGGCGCTATTTCACCCTCTGTAGTGCGTGGTGGATCCCTTTAGATCCTTGTTGCTCAGGGATTAGTTTTGACTCTACCTGTTTCTTCCTCATCAGTATAACTGGACAACTAATAGCTGTACATCCCTCCCAGTGTTGTAACAAGTAAGGAGAAGGATAGCCATCTCTGTCGAACATTCTGCTAAAAGCACTTCCGTATTAAGCTCTCCCAGTGACTGAGACAGCTATTATTACTTCATTTAACACACAAGGAAACTGAGACAAATAAGGTCAAGAAACTTTTCCAAGTCCACATACCTAATAGGTAGTTGGGACAGAACCTGACCCCACCCAGAGCTGCTTTAGGGACTGCTGAGTGAGAACAATACCTTGTAGAGCTATGGAGTATACAGCCTGAGAGCCCACCTCCAGCATCAGCCAAGAGCCCACCAAGCAGAACGGCCTTAGAAATGGCTGCTTCTCACCCCTGGGAACGGGGTGGGGTTGGGGTGGCGACATTTACTAAACTTTGTCCTAAACCACTGGGTACTGCTCTTTGCCTGGTTCATTCATCCATTCTGCAGAAAATATGGCTTCCTTTACAAACAAACACACGGTAAATCTGGGATCTGTGCCCACCACAGACGTGCTCATGGCAGCTACACACAGTCACTGAGGTGCTTGATCTCCTGGGTGGACATTTTCCATTTTTTCCATGATATTCCCCAAGCTGACAGCTCTTCCACTTAGCCCAGGGGCACGAGGGAAGATGAATTATTAACTCTGGATGATCCAAGAGGTCAGACACAACATGCCCATCTGTCTTCCTGCAGACAAGGAGTCTTGCAGAAGTGTGAGGTTCATGGGAAGGCAGATTTATGACTGTCTGGATGAGCCAATTTCATCTATCAAGGGCCATCTTTAATCCTCAAGAACAATAAATGTTTGTATTTCCCACTATATTAAATAAGATTAATGACTGTGTGGGGTATATTGAGCATCACTCACGGGTGTAATAATAGAACCACTCAGACATTTTAAAAAGACATTGCTTCACATTTGAGGTGCCTGGAGAATGAATTTATATATGTCACATATATTGTTTATTGTAATGATCTTGCACCTGTTATAAAATCATAAATGTATACATGGCTTTCAATTGAGAAAATTCTCCCTTCTCTCCATTGGTGCTCATCATACCTTATGGAATAGAGTACATCCAATTTCTAAAAAATATCATTATTCATTTCCCATCTTATCAACAGGACTTCGTGTTCATTAGAGAAGCATCAGAAAATAAATGAAAGGAAAGAGGCAATAAAAATCATCAGATTCCCACTGCAGTTAACCAAGACTATGTTGGCCCTGTCCTTTGAAGTCTTTTCTTTCCATCTCGAACCTCTGTGTGCATACAGAGATATACCAGTCTCTTACTGTCATTCAATTTTAGTACTTCCTTTGCTTTTCCTTTTTTGTACTGGGGATTGAACTTGGGGCCTTGTGCTTGCAAGACAGGCGGGGAACCACTGAGCTAAATCCCTGGCCCTTGTTTTTACTTTTTAATATATCATGAACATCTTTCTATGTCTCAGTTTTCTACATCTTTTTTAATATTTGCAGAGCTCCTTTATACAAGTGACCCACCATGTGATTAATAGCCTATTATTTGACACCATAAACAGTGTCACAGCAAGCATCCTTATCACTAAATCTGTGTACATACTCGAGATTGCTGTATTAGGAATGCTACCTACTAGAAGAGAGTTTCTGGCTCCTGCAGAATGCACAGATCTAAGATCAAACCACCCTCCAGGCAGAACTGATCCAGCTCCCACTCCACTAGCAGGAGATGAGAGGCCAAGTCCCCGCAGCCTTCCTATACCTGGACCACCCCCTTAGAAAAACTGAGGCTCAGAGAGGTCACAGAATGTGGCCAAGGTTACACAGCCATGATGTGTCGGCACCTGTACTGGAATTAAGCTTCCAGATTCAAAATCTACAGCTGTTCTGCACAAGATCCCTGCATCCTTCACGCTCTGCACACACCTCCACTGCAAGCCAATGCCTCTCCGTGTCCCTGTGCCCACCTCTGATCTCAGCCGCAGCCACAACTCCTAAGTCGTGCTGGGACTCCACATGGCTCTGCTGGCTCAGGGGGTGGCCTGAGCAGAGACGGAAGAGTGAGGGGATGTGACAAAGGTCAGGAGGCAGTCCTGCCCAGGTGGGCCCAGCTTGGCAGCCCCTGGCACACATCCCTGGGCCTGCCTGGGTTTGGCCTGCAGCTGCAGTGGGTGACTCCAGCCCGAAAGCTTCCCACCTTAGACTTGGTCTCTGCTCGTCCACCAGGGCTGTGTGGAGGCAGGGAGGACAGCCTTCTCCACCACAGCAGGCACAGCCCGGAGAGGGGTCAGCACCCCGAAAGGCAACCTGCTCCTGGTGGGGGCAGAAACCTGTGGATAAACCAAGAGTCCCGCTGCCCTCTGCTAGGACAATTCTGAGGCGTCCACCCCATGGTTTCTAAGAGGATCCCGAGTAGAACTGAGTCTCATTCGCCTTGAGAGTTCACTGATTCACTCACAATCCTTCAGTGGCCTTTCCTTCTCTCTCTCACCTCCGTTTCCTGGCATCATTCCCACTGAAATACTTTGGCCCTCCTCTGTCGGGGATTCTCCCGTAAATACAGTGCCATGGCCCTTCCTCCTCGGGTACTGTGTATTAGTTAGGGTTTGCCAAGCTTCCTTGATGAACAAGCCCAAGGTGCTTTGCTGAAGTAATATGAAGTATGTGCTCCTCACGGCACAGCGCAGGGCAGGGCATCCAGGCAGCGTCCTGGGCTGGCAGAAGGTGCCCAGCTCCACCAACTTGGGGACCTGCCACTCCACCATTGTACCGGGGACTCCAGGGGGCTCTGAGGATCCACTTTCCAGGCCCAAGAAAAGGGAAAGAGCTTGGAGAAAGGCACCAGAAGTGCAGGGTGAGGTCAGAGGTGACACTGTCACTGCCACTCCTGTTAGCCCTCAGCCCTTCACTACTGGGGTGGGGGTCAGGAAAGCATTCAGGTGAACAATTCTCAGTCCCTGCCACGTCCCTCCAATCCACTTCTTGGGAAAACCAAGCAAACAATCAAGAAACCCAAACCACCCAGTGTAAGTTTCTATTTTAAACACAATTGCTGTAATACTACACTTTGTTTTGTAATTTTAGGAAACCAAGGGATGGGGCCCTGTTCTGCAAAGTCAAGCTGCTGAAGGCCTCTCTGTCGCTGCCCCATGCTTGCTCCATACTGATCATCACCGGGTTGCCCACACATTTCAATGTCCAACCCCCGGAAGAGACAGAGCATTCCCTGGAAGCCATTGCTCTGGCCACCTTCCTGCAGGCCCTGGGGAAGGAGGTCCCTATGGAGGTTGACCAGAGGGCCTTGACCTTGGTCACGACCCTTGCTGATTATGCTTCCTGGCAAGGTGAGCAATGACATGGGCTCAGTCCGTTCCCCCAAACAGGCCTCTGTAGCAGAGGGTGGCGGGAGTCAGGGTGTGTGGCAGCTCTGCCACCTGGCATGGGCCCATGCCCTTGACATGGCTCGTTTTCCTAAGAGCTCAAAGAAACACTTTGTTGTAAGCAGCATTATTCCCATTTTATGGAGAAAAAGACTGAGGCTTTAAGAGGTCTGGGTGATTTATGCCAGCAAGAATGGTGTGCTGGAATTTGACCTGAAAACTGAAAAGCACCAGCTGTCCTCCCTGTGGGACTGGGGGCCTCTGAGTACAGAAGCAGGGCGGCCCCAGGCCACCAGAGATGGGGTGGGTGGTGGAGTATAGAGAGGTCCGGATGGGCAGGGATGTAGCTGGTGCTCCCAGGGGTCATCAGGGCTACAGGTGTGGGAGACGTGTTCCCAAAGCGCCGTCAGTGGGCAAGATCGCTTTGGGCTGTTCCTCCCTTCGCCTCCGTCCTGCAGGAAGGGCCACTCAGGCACAAGCTGGAGCCTGGTGAGTCTAGCTGCTTCCCACCAACTGTCTCTCTGTGTCCTTCATAATACATTCTTCAAAGAAGTATTTTGTCCTACCAGCATTCAAAAGGGCTTCCATCATTTGGAATTTTCAAAAATGCTGTGTCTGTGCATTATTCCCTCTCATGCCACAGATGTGGACTGAGCGTCTACTGTGTGCCAGGCATGGTTTTAGGCTCCTGAGACCCATCTGTGAGCAAAACTGACAATCCTGCCCCTGCAGAGCCTGCACTCTACAGTGTGAAGGGGGAAAAGCTACATAAGGAGTGTGTCACATGTTAGGAAGGGACGATGTCAGGGGAGAGATGGAGCAGAGGAGGGGAATGAAACCAGAGGGGCTGTGGGGCTGCTACTGTAGACAGGAGAGTGAGGGAAGACCTCATGGAGAAGGCAACAGTTGAACCCAAATTCAAGGGTCACATGTGTCCTTCATCAGGTGTGTGTGCAGGGGACCGCAATATTGATTATGCCCAAAGTAGGCTGTAGGCAGTGCAGGCTGTGAAGTGTTAACCTCACATGGGCTTATTTATAGAAATGAGTCCTGCCAGAGCCTCTGTGCTAAGCTCAGAGTAACTCGCACCCAAATTCCGTTCCCACAACTAAAACCTTCTTTCACTTTTTTTTTGTTTATTTTTTTTTTTGTACCAGGGATCAAACTCAGGACCTTGTACTTGTGAGGCAGGAGGTGGAAACACTGAGCAAAATCTCCAGCTAAAGCCTTCTTACTAGAAGGACAATGTTCTAATTAGCCATATATTTTGTCTATTCTGTTCCTAATTCAAGAAAGCTTTGCCTTGTCCTTTATGAGCCTTGCTTACATTAATTTCTATAGAAGCTGAATGACTGCACATCATCTCATGTAGTCCTGCCCTTGCACATAACTCACCTTTACCCCAGGTGATTATTAATAAAAATCATTGGCTTGGAAAGATTGGTGCATTCTGCTAAAGCACAATTCACCATCCTGGCTCTCTGCTTTCTGTCTCTCTTAGTTCTTTCTTTTGGTTTTTTTCTCAGGTTTGCCTTGTACACTGAGCAGGAGACTGGAGCCTAATGCAGAGGTTTCTGGTAACGTTTCAGGGGTCTCTAGTACACGTGCCCCCTCCAGATATGTTTCTTGTTCCCTGCCCTGTCTGGCTTTGTGATTCCACATCTCACTAGTGTCCTGTCTTTGATCCAGCTTCAAGAAGGTGGGAAAGAGCAGCCTTTGCTTGGCACGTGGGGGTGGGGCTGCTGCCTTGAACCTTCATTGACAACATGAGCTTGTGGCTTTGTTACAACACAGACATGAGCTTACTTGGATTGGCTTTCTGGGATGGGGATGAAGGGCCAATGATGGGGATTATGGAGGTGCCTGAATCTCTTCCAAGGCTGCCCCCTTGCACCTCTTCTGGGCCACAGAGAGGTAGAATCCCTGCAGAGCCAGTGGGATCCTAGTGGGGCCCTGGTGGGACCATCATCCCCCTGCCCTCTTCACCTCTGCATGAAGGCTGTCCTGGATTCTACCCCATGTTCCTGGAAGATTGACTAGTTGATGAAAACCGAATTAATTCTTTTTTATTTTGGAGGTTTTTTATATTTTTATATTTCCATATATTCTATAATACTACATATTATTTTATCATTAGAAGAGGTGACATTTTAGGCCAATAAATATATGAAGAAATTTATTTATTCCCATTGGACAAAACATTGAATAGGTAGATTTTTTTCTGGGACATCTTTGTCCAAATTCATTTTTATTGTAATGAAGTCCAAAAATTCATCAAATAATTCATGGATTTTTCTCTTTGGTAAAATAATGAAAGTAGCATGAATGTGATTAATCACTTTCAAATAAATCTGACAGAGTTCCTGTAGTAAATTTGTTCCTAAATTTGTATCAAAGAAACAAAATCTTGTTTTTTATTGAACTCTCTTCCAACAATACTAAGAAAGTATGGTGAAATGCCCTAAATCTTCATCATCTCTGCTCCTAGAGTAGTTAGAATTCTTGTCTTCTCAAAAATAATTAGAATCTGACCAAAACCTCTTTCAACCTACTAACCCCGAAGTTTTTGGAGAATTGAAATCTAAATTGTTTTTAAGAATATGAAAGGAGTCTTCCAAGAAGAATGCTAAAGCCAACTTTGTAATACACTAAATATGCCCAAAGGCATTTTCACGATTTTTTAAATAAAAAATGCTCTATTAATTTGCATAATTCTTGGTTGTGAAACTGTCCTGTCCAGTCCAGTCGTGCTGCAGCCTCCAGCCCTGGGATGATAATGTCTCTTCCAAGACGGTGTCCCTCCCTCGGTTCGGGGGTATCTAATGTTCCCTCAGTACTCCTTATCTTGGACGCCTGGGGCTGGGTATCAGGTGGACCGTGCTGGGCTTGACACCATTCGCCTTGGGACGCCTACAGAGAGCTTTTCCTCCTCCTCTGGCTCCATTAGGTAAAGCAACATTGTGCTCCAGCACCACCAGCTCCACACACTTAACCGGGGCTCCTTTCTGGCGGGGGAGAACATGGAGCTCCGCTCGGACTCCACACTCCCCACACCGCCAGCTGCCTTCCCATCCGGAAACAGGGGCAGTGCACTGGCCGAGGGCGCAGCCGTAACAGCTAAATTTTGGAAGTAGCCTGTATACCCATCAGCAAGAGGATACAGAAAGTATGGTATTTCCACACAGTGGAGTACTACTCTGCCACAGAGATAAACTTGGCCGAGGGTTTGGCTCAGTGGTGACGCCGCCTGATGAGTTCAATCCCCGGTACCAAAAAATAAAAATAAAACAAAGAAAGGCACACTTAAGTCATTTGTAGGAAAATGGATGCACCTCGCTACCATAACGTTAAATGAAGTAAACCAAATACATGAGCTTATATACTGCACGGTTTCTCTTACATGAGAAACCCGAATTATAAATAAAGAGTAAAATAAGCCATAGTAGGAAGATAGAGCTTTCTCAAATGGGAAGGGGTTCAAGAGATGGAGGGAGGGGAATGGGAAAGGAATGCAGATGTGTTATGTACATGCGCCAACTCCACACAAGGAACGCGAGCATTCTGTACTGCAAACACGTACTCATAAAAATAAAAAGTAAAAAGGTGCCTTTAGAAAGAGCCAAATTCACTTTGGAAATCACACCCAAGGCTGTCCCTGGGCTTCCTCCTGATGTTCTCCAACTTCGCTGAAGGTATGCAGAGGGTCAGGGATAGGGTGGGGATTTAGGATGAAAACTGGAAATAAGTATTTGACCTTGCCTGTGTTATTCAGTGTCTCTCAACCTCAGTTCTCCTCTTTTGTAAAATGGGAATCATAAAAATTTTTTATTGACCAGAAATGTCGGCAAAACTCGAATGCTTGTCAGGCACTTGGCAGAGGCTGGCACAGTCACTGTAGGTGCACAAATGTGTACCCAGCTCTCCCGACAGCACTGGGCAGAACAGGCCTTTGGGCCACCTGGTGCGGTGAGCCTCTGCCCCACAACGTATTCGCTTGCCCACACTGGCCCAGTTCCGTCCTCCAGCCCATCCCAGCCCTAGGGTTCACTCAGCACCAAAAGTAAGATTATTGTCCTCTGTAAGTCCTGGCTTACTTCACAAAGTGCCCAGCTCAGAGGTGTCGTTTGGTAACTCTCACGATGCAGTCCAAAGAAGCTTTTGAAAAGCAAATGTAAATTTCCAAAACACAACACCAGAGCCAAGGCCTTTATTTCCAAGGTGTTCTGAAGACAGGGATCCCGATAGTAATTTACCAAGGTGGATCGGTGGAAGATGCTCAGACCTTTCTGTGCAAAGATGGGGACCCCAAGTTACCCAGCTACATCATATCTCATCCCAGGTTAATGATGATGGTGGGAAAGCCCATGTGCTTTTAACTTCACCAGCAAGGTTTCTCCAGGCCCAGGCCTGTACAAAGCCATGAGCCCAGTAAACGGGTTCTAACGGGCCACACTGACACTTGAGGTGGGGGTGGGTCTCATAGTGTACAAGGGGCTTCACAGAGCAGGCCCAGAAATAGCAGGCCCTGGCCAGAGGGGAGAGATGCCCAACCTTCTCGACAGAGAGGGGAGATATGACAATTTTAAAAACAAAAAAGGCCAGCAGTCTTTCTAACCTTGTGTCATAACTCATCAGAGAGTAGTAAAATCATTTCGGGCATCAGGGGGTAACCAGCACCTTTGGAAAATGAAATAGAAATCATGTTTTATACTTGCATAATAGCAAGAAGCACTCTCTTATGAAACTGTGTGTTTCTTACTGTGCACCATAGTCAAGCATTTTGCAAAATACCTATGTATTGCATATGTTTCGGGTCTTACAGTGTATAACACTGTGTTTTGCATACATTTTGTGTAATAATTCATAGAAATGCACTTTGTGTTGCAGATCAGGATGGACAAAACACACACAACTGAAACAGATGTTTCAAAAGCCAACTTTGGCTCTTGAGATATTGCAGGACTTACCGTGATTCTGTGTGCAATGCATTCTGATGCTTTCTGTTCTGGTCTGTTCTATACCACCTTTCAAAAGGTACCTACTGATCGGACCCCACAAGTTCATTGCATAACTCACTAACGCATATCCACTTAGAATTTTAAAACACTGCATTAATGGGCCTTGAGGGCATAGCCGTGTCACAGCTTGCAGCACAACCGAGGATCCTGAGTCACCACAGGAAGCGTGGCTGAGACTGATCCGCTGCCGCAGCTGCTACGCATGCTCTCAGGAGGGTTTACGTAGATGCCCCTAATTCAGTGGCTGAGTTCTGTTCCTGCCATTAGGCCCTTAAATGAGTTGGCCGCTAAATGAGAACTTGTATATAGTACGGACATTACAATATTCAGAACGAAGAAATGGTCAGGGGAAACTCCAACTTGATGAATTTGCTTTTATTTGCATAACGCTTACTTGCAGTACTGAAATGTGTAACAGAACATCAGGACATAACGCTACAGCCATTAAATAGGAAGGTCTATCTGTCAAATGAGGGCTATCGGTACTCCCTGTTGGGTGTGCAGACAAGGCGGGGGCTCCCGTGGGAAAGTCAAAAGTCCCCCCCCCATGGGACCCTGGTGGCAGGTGCTGCAGAATTTGCTGTGTGCTGAGTAGAGGGAGCTGTGTGTGTGAAGATGGGCAGCACTTCCCGGGCCTGAACACTGCCCACCAAGCTAAGGAGATCTCTGGGGGATGAAAACCACCCAGTCCCACTCCAAGACACCCGCAGCTGCCTTCTCCCTGAGTCACTTCCGGAAAGAGCTCCACCTCCGTGACTGCTGTCCTTGCAGCTCCTGTTCTAACAGCACCGAGGTTGGTGGAGGGCATGTCCAGGTCCAGGCTCCTCCTTCCTGCTAGTTCTACCTTCCCAGTGGCTGCAGGGAGCCTTGCGGCTGCATTTGAAGACCTTCTTGGTGGCCCCGCCTCGAAGTATAGGTGATTTCTTGTTTCAGCACAACCAAAGGACAGAGACAGGCATGGGGACTTTGTTTTTTAAGAAAATTACCAGAAAAAACATTCACAGTTCAGATTTTTTATATTGATGTGAAATATACCTAATCCCAAGTTTATTGCTATTTTAACCAGTTTTTCTTTGGGTGCTGGAGATCGAACCCAGGGCTTTGCATATACTAAGCACACAGCACTCTACAACTGAGTTGTGCAGTATTGTCTTCTTGTGACAAGCTTATGTCCCTTAGCATAATGTTTTCAAGATTCATCCAGGTTGTAGCACATAAGAATTCTATGCATTTTCAGTACTGTATAATATTCCAGTGTGTATTTATCTATTCCTTCATCATTGGACACATAGGTTGCCTATTGTGAATAATGCTGCTAGGAATGTGAGGGTGCAGATATGTCTTCCAGTCCCTGATTTCAATTTTTGGGGTTTATATACCCAGAAGTGGAACTGCTGGACCAAATGGTAATTCTCTTTTTAATTTTTTAGGAACAATCATACTGTTTTCCATAGTAGGGTTAAGATTCTGAAGAACTCCATTGTTAAGGGACTTAGAGACATGCAGGGCCAGGGATTTAGCTCCGTGGTGCCTCTGCCTGCCTCGCAAGCACAAGGTCCTGAGTTCGATCCCCATTACCAAAAAAAAAAAAAAAATTTTAAAGAAAGTACAATTTATGCTTCTGAATGTCTCACCCCCCACTTTGTTTTTTGGGTTTTTGGTACTGATGATTGAACTCGGGACCTTGCACTTGCCAGGCAGGCAGCAGCACCACTGAGATAAATCCCCAGCCAGTACTTTTCTTTATGATTAAAACAATATTCTTGCCAATAGTAATACCAACAATAACCACGGCTAACACTGACCGAATCCTAAGTAGGTGGTGGCCCCATGACAGGCACCTCTTGTGTTTTCTCATTTGACCAGATGCTGACTGAGGTCAGTGCTGTTGCGTGTGGCCCTGAAAATGCAGAAAAGGAAGGCTAGAGAGGTTAGGGACCTTGCCCTAGACTAGTGCCCCAGCCCCTAGAATGGGGGAGCAGACCACGGGGTTTCACAATCACAGTTTCTGACCACTGCACTGTCTGGGTACCTTGTTCCTCTAGCTCTTTCTCCCTAAAGAAGTTCATTCTGAGACCAGTTCATTCATCCTCTATCTCAAATCCTTCTGTCTCTTGTCTGTAAAGTGAATAAGCTCTCAGAAGAGGACAGCAGTGGGGCAACAGCAGCCATCCCTCTCCACATCTGGGGCTGCCCGCTGCTCACTGCCCCATGAGGAGCCCCTGGGTGGGGCATCCCAGTCACCTGACCTTTGACCTCCTGCTTTCTGTGAGGACTTGCTAAAGACCCCGTGCTGTGTCTTCAGGTGATGCAATGGCTACACCCCCCACCGGAGGGCTGGTGCAGGGCAGGTGGTCAGTCGAGTTCCTGGGAAGAAAGAACCAAGTGTCCTTCATACAGACTCACAAAGACAAAGCCAAAGCAGCCATAAGGACCTACTCCCCTTGCTTCCGGGCAGATCTGACCACCTGGTGGACATAGCACGTGCACAAGGGATGCCGGTGTCAATAACTCCAAGGCCATGAAGGGGGACATAAAGCATTTAGTTGACCCCATTGATGACCTTTCCCCCGCCGTTCAGAAGATTCCTGGAATCTCATTAACGGTAAGTGGGAGCCTCTGGGAAGTGCGCACAAATGTGTCAGCACTAAATGTCTTCCTATTAACTGTGAAGAGAGGGCAGGAGAAAGTTGCACGGGGACTATTGTCTTCCGAGCCAAAGATGCTCTTTTTTTATTTGTCGGTCTAGACACTAATGACACAGCTATTTAGAATGTGACATTCCCGCAGCACGAAAGGAAAGTGACACTTACAGAGAATATTCTAGATGCTGGGATCTAAAGTAGTAAAACTAACAATGAAACAGTAACAATAATAAAATTTAGACAGCATATAATTTGGTTCATATAGGATGAAATTTGTCTCAAGTTATTTTATGAAATATCCTAATTTTAAGTATATCAAATGTATGATTCCTGTAGGATTATTGATAGCAATATAATAATGTGGTAGTATCTCTGCAAAACTTTATAGTTTTGAGAGAGGTTTTGTATCCATTGTGTTGTTCACACCTTTATAAAAAGAAAAACAGCGGGGGATTTAGCTCAGCGGTTCTGCTGCCTGCTTTGCAAGCGCAAGAACCCGAGTTTGATCCCTGGTACCAAAAAATAAACAAAAAAACAAACAAACAAAAACCCATGTTCCTAGCTACTCAGGAGGCTTAGGCAGGAAGACTGCAAGCTTGAGGCCAGCCTGGGCAACTTAGCAAGACCCTCTCCCAAAAATTAAAAAATAAAAGGCCAGAGATGTAGTTTAGTGCAAAGGTCCTAGATTCAACCCTCTGTAATACAAGAAGAAAAAAAAGTGATGACAGTTGGGGATGAGAAGAGCAGTACACTGTCCAAAACTGGGAACCAGAGACATTTTCTGAGGTTGCCTGGATGATAATGCTTATTGATAGAATTAGGAGCAGAATCCAGAGCCCAGGAATCACACTGCCTGTATGAATTTCTAAAAGAACCAATTTTCCTCCTCTGGGGCAGATCTCAGGCCCTGGAGCAATTAAGGCCTATCTGTGCCTTTTCTCTCCACCCAAACACTCTGGAGTGTTTCCCAGACACATTAGTCCCCTTTGGCTTTTGAGGTTTTGAGGAGACAATGATTAGAAAGTTTCTGCAGATGGCTGGGCCTTTCCCAGAACAGGCCGTGGGTGTGGCACTCACAGTGTGGCTGGCTTGGCTGACTCAGAACTTCCTGTCACTCTTGCTGGCAGGCAGAGGACCCAGGGCCTTTGGGGAGGGTTCCTAGGGCAGAAGAGACCAAAGGGGCCATCAGCAAATGGGTTCTGAAAGAGCTGCAGAGGATACCCTACCCCACCCCCACTGAATGTTCTCAGTCTTTACTGTGGTGCCTTGAGATGTTAGAAGGCAGGTGGAGCTGGCTGGCCGTGGCTTCAGATCACCCTCTTAGCAGACCCATAAACTCTTCCAGAGGGCATTATTTTGTCCTTCAATGGGCTGGCATCAATCTGGAAAACCATTCTGAGAAAAATCATCAGGGTGTGCAAAGAAGGCATTTGGTCGTTCTCAATTAACTGATTCTTTTGGCTAAGTCTGGTCTCTGATGTTTGAGACAGATCAGATCTTGTTCCCCACTCTACCATCCTGCAGTGGAAGGCACCCTGTATAGAAGCAAACTCAAATTCAGTGAGCGATGGCGGAGATCAAGAATGACCCATGAAATGTGCTCGAGGCAGAGCTTTGCTGGAAGGCGACTGGATCATGGGTGCGCTATAACTATAGAAGGTGGGGCCTGGTCAGAGAGGAGGGTCAAGGGGTGTGGCCCGGAAGGGTGTATTCTCGTCCCCTGCTCCTCCCTTCTCTCGGCTTCCTGGTTGCGTTGACAGGGGCAGCTTTCCTCCACTCGGCCCTTCCACCGTGCCATTTCTGCCTTGGAGCCAGCTGACCATACATAGACAGAAACTTCGGAAACCATGAGCCAAAATAAATGTCTCCTCCCTTAAGTTGCAGGTGCCAGGTATTGTGTCTCAGCAACAAGAAAGACACTGCCTACCCTGCAAGGGAAGGTCCTGAGTTCGATCTCTGGTACCAAAAAAAAAAAAAAACAGAAAGAAAGTAGCTAAGACACAGCAATACACTTGTTCCCTAGATCAAGAGTACGGGTCTTCTGTCCTTGAGGCACTGGGATACACACCTTGCATGAAAGGTTACTCAGACACTCTCACTACGTTGCCTAAGCTGGTTCCAAATTCCTGGGCTCAAGCAGTTCGGCCTCAGCCTCCCAAGTAGCTGGGATGGGGGCTATAGGTATTAACACTGTGCCCATAGCCTCCAACAGTGACTTGTAGGTATAGAATACCTCAAAGGATACAGGCCACCATATTTATATCGTGCTGGGCTTGAACCTCAAACTTCACACATGCTAGGCAAGTACACTGCTACTGAACTACACCCCCAGCCCTCTTATTTTGAGACAGGGCCATGCTAAATTGCCCAGGCTGACTTTTTAAAATCTCGATTCTGCAAGGGTAGTAGTGCCTCAGAATTATTTTTAGCCAATCCTCCTGTTTTGAACATCATCCATTTCGCCAAGGTTTCTAATATTTCTGTGCTCCATCAGTCATTTATTTTTCTAATTAAAAGATTCCCTGGTGCTGAAGATCAGATGAACCTCTGTGGTCTCTCAAATGCTAACCAATCACCCCTGGAGAGTGAGTCTACTCCTGATTAGGGATCTCACATGTTAGCCACCCCCCCCATGAAAATATGGGAACCCCACTAGGAAATGAGTTCCAAACTTGGACTCATTTCGAGCTACAGAAATTTCTAGAAGTGCTGAGAGGAAGTAACATCTGCTGGTTGTCAGAAAGTCTATTCAGAGACAACCACTAAGCTCCCAGGGGGCATAAGACACCTATAGAGCACACATCCTGCCCTATAACCACCCCCAGTCTTGTGTCTTGACTCAGTTCCCCTTCCCTGTAGGAGTTGGTAGCAGGCAACCAGTTCAGGACGGGCAAAGTGAAGCAGGCTGTAAAGAGACACATGAAATGGGGATGTCATCGCCTGTGATATGGAGACTGGTGAGAGTACCTAGGTGGCTGCCCAGTCGGGCCCAGCTGCCCAGTATGAGGGACCTGGATTGGAGCCTGACAAGGCCAGAATCTCCTCTTGTCTGAAGGAGGATCGAGAGGGCACAAGCGTACAAAACAGATCTGGCTATCAACCTCTGACCACTCAGTCATTCAGTCATTCAACAAACATTTAGGGTATTCCAGGCACCGTTCCAGGTACTGGAGTTATAGCAAGGATGTCTCTGCTCCACAGAACTTCTGCTCTACAGTTGGAAGACAATGAGCTCTGGCAAATACAGATACCAGAGTGCGCTGTGATAAGAATACAGGGGCTGCAGAACAAGGAGATAGCGCAACAGGCGGCCCATTAGATCAGCAGTCAGAAGGCTTCTCCCCGCTTCCATCTGTACTGCAGCATGGTGGACAGGCGAGCGATCCACTCAATGTTTGGGGATGCAGGAGGCCTCCCTCTTCTCCTGCCACGAACTTCTGCCTTAGTCTCCTCTGCTCTTCCACGATGCTGCCTTCCCCAGGAGGACCAGCCTTTCTGTGTCTGGGTCCTTCAAGGCCTGCCCTTCTTCACTGGACCTCACCACAAGTTTTAGGAAAATCAAGGCAGAGAAAGGCTCTGAGAAAGGCTCTCTCCCACCACAAGATCAAACTTAGCTGGCAAAGAGCAAAAGCATTCTGGGAAACCATGGCCAGGAAGACTGAACCATAACTGAAGAAGTGCTGGAGGCTCAGTGGGGAGGAACCAGGGGGAGATAAAAGCTCCAGGGCACACAGGATGGGGTCCCCCATGCTCCTGTGAGTCTTACCCTTGGGAGATCAGCCGAGTTCTCACCATGGGTAATAGGATAATCCTCTCCAGATTATGGCAGGGGGAGAGGAAAAGGAACTATTTTGAAATGCTCGAGGACATTCTGTTCTTAACAAGATCTGCCTTCCACAGAAACTATTTTACCACAACCTATTGGGGTTTTATCAGAGCAAACCTACCTGGGAGAAGGGAAATGCCCAACTCTAGCCTTTGCGGTTTCTCTGTCCCAGCCAAGGGTGTGTGGGCAAAACTGAGAAGCACAAGGGAAATCTCACAGAGCAGGGGCACAGGCTCACTGCTACGGTTTGGATATAGCCCCCCAACTCATGTAGTGATTGACCTCCAAGGCCCTACCATGTTATGTTTCTTTTGTTTGTCTGTTTTGTTTTTGATACCAGGGATTGAACACAGGACCTTGCGCTTGTGAGGCAGGCAGTAGCACCACAGATAAACCCCTGCCCTCCTACCATTTTATCATAAAGGTATTAAGAGGATAGAAATTTAATTCACCTATGGTGTTTAGAGGTGGGGCCTGCAAGTGATCACATTAAGTCATTAGATGGAGGCCTCATTACCGAATCATGGTGACTTTTTAAGGAGGAGACCACATGGACACAGAGATGTACACAGGCTCCTGCCCTGATGTGATGCAGCTCTGTGTAGGAGAGGAGAGGCTCATAGAGCCTGTGCTATGCCATCTTGCTTAGACTTCCAGCCTCCTTGGCTTATCTTGCAAGCCAAGATAAATCTTCCTTTATAAAGCAGCCTACCTCAGGTATTTTATTATAGTCGTGAAAAATGACTGCTAAAGTCATTGAAAGACTAAAGGCCTGTTTACTGCAGCTCTTTTTACCAAGTATGTCATGTTTACCTTTCAGCAAAAAATTACAAGACTTTCTAAGGCAATTTGAAGAGTCTGAAGAAGCATCAGAACCAGAGTCAGATGTATCAGGAATGGACAAAGCAGAAAATTTTTAAAACTATGGTTCATAGGATAAAATATTTGATGTGAAAAGTAGACAGTATATGTGTTATGGTTTTGATCTAAAATGTCCCCACATCTCATGTGTTTCAGAGGGGATTGGATTATATAAGTGCTATACTCCTTAGTGGATTAATTCCACTGTTTCAGGAAGTGGGGCCTGGTTAGAGGCCATCACTGGGGGTGTGACATGGCGGGGTCTGTTCTCCTCCTCCCTTATGTCTGCTTCCTGGATGCTACAGGTTGAGAATCTTTCATCTGCCATACGCTTCCACCATGTTGTTTCTCCTTTGGAGACAGCTGACAGTGGACTGAACTCACTGAAACCATGAGCTAAATAAACCTCCTCTTATTTTTGAAAGGCGGGGAGTACGGGGATCAAACTCAGGAACCTGTGCCTGTGAGGCAGGCAGCAGCACCCCTGAGCTAAATCCCCAGTCCAAACCTCTTCTCTTTTAAGTTGTGGGTACTGGATATTTTGTCCCAGTGATGGGAAAATGACTAATAAAAGAACAGATGGATAATGTAAGCAAAGAGATGGAAATTCTAAGAAGAAACCAAAAGTAAATGTTAGAGATCAATAATACTACTAGAAATGAAGAATGCCTTTGCTGGGCTGATTAGTAGACTGGACACAATTGAGGAGAGAATGTCTGAGCTTGAGGAGATGACAAGAGAAACTTCCAAAACTAAAAGGCAAAGGAGAAAAAGGGGCTGAAAAAATAAAAATGGAACAGTACAGCCAAGAGCTGTGGGACAACTGCAAAAGGTGTAACCTATGCTAATGTGAATACCAGAGGGAGAAGAAAGACCCTATCTTTCTAAAAGAAAAGGCATGAAGGAAAAATTAAGGCATATATATATATATATATAGATAGATAGATAGATAGATAGATAGATTAGATATCTATAGATACAGATATGTTCTCAAATGACCAACATTGTATTCGTGACTATTGTATATCTTGCAATGAACATTGTGGAAGCTGTTCACTTTTCAATTTGAAGTAAAATACTTTCAAGAAAAACAAATTTAAAAGAATAGAAACCATCTATGCCTGTTTTCAGACCACAAGTGAATTAGTATATGTGCTGCTGAAGCACGCACCCAACAACTGAATTAAATTAGAAATCAGTAACAGAAAGGTATCTGAAAAAATTCTAAAATACCCGGATATTAAACAATATGCTTCTAAATAATACCTGAACCAAAGAAGAAATCTTGAGAGAAATTGTTAAATACTTGAACTCTCCTGCTATTCATTCTTCCACACGAGAGCACAACATTCCTCCTCTCCAAAGGGTGACCAACACGGTGCCGTCTTGGAAGTGTCTTGGAACAGCCCTCCCAGTCTGGCAGCACTTTGATCTTGGACTTCCCAGCCTTCAAAACTGTGAGAAATAAGTTTCCATCTTGTATCAAGAAATACTTTGAACTTTTAAATGAAAATATAGCTTACTGCAATTTGAAAGCTGAGCCTAGACAGAAATTTATAGCATTGAACGATACATTAGAAAAGAAGAAACATCTAACATCAATCATTTAAATAAAGGTGTTTGTTGGAACAACTGGACATTGACAAATGGAAAAAATGAATCTAGATACAGACCTTGCATTCTTCACACAAACACAAAATCCAAAATGGATCATAGACCTAAATGTAAAACATAAAACTATAAAAAAATCATAACTTAGAAGACAATCCAGATGACCTTGGGTGTAATTATGACTTTTAAGATACAATCTCCAAGATACAATCCATGAAAGAAACAGTTGATAAGCTAGACTTCATTAAAATTTAAAACATCTGCTTGCAAAAGACAAGGTCAAATGAATAAAAAGACAAGCCACAGACTGGCAAACACTATTTTCAAAAGACTATCTGGTAAAAGACTAAAATATGCGAAGTACTGGAGGAGGAAGTGGGACGGATAGGGGAAAGGAAAGAAGGGAAATTTTAAAATATGAAAAAATGGAAACAAAGTCTTTGTAAATAGGAAAGAGTAGAAGGGTAGAAGGGTTGAAGGGAGGGCAGGAGAATGGGGGAAAAATGAGAACCAAGATATACCATGTAAAGGTACAAGATCCCCATGATGAATGCCATCATATTGTACACCCAAACTGTACCAATAAACTTAATGAAAAAAATATACAAAGAACTCTTAGAACTGAACAATAAGAAAACACACAACAAATTAATCAGTGGGCAAGAGACCTGAGTAGACACCCCTCTGAGGAAGGTAACCTGGTTTCCTCTCCCAGTCTATCAGCAGTCAATCTCCCTAATACCCTGAAGGACAGGGATCAGGGAGCTTCTGGGTCACAGACATGTGGAGGCACTCGCAGGGTGGGCTCCCCTCCCCATGTGACATGGCATCTCCACATCTGTGTCCCTTGGTATCATCCTTATAATAACAAACCAGGACGTAAGTGTCCCGGAGTTCTGTGAGCCTCTGGAGAAAGTGATAGAATCCAGGGAGCCGGTCGTGGCGTCCTCACTTGATAACAGGTGAACTCAGGGTTTGTGATTGGCGTCCAAAGTGGGACAGAGGACTCATTCTATAGGGTCTGGTGCTGTGTCCAATGGACAGGGCCAGAGCTGACATGGATTAGGATGCCTGGCTGGTACCCGCTCCTGCAGTATTGGTTATTGGCTTCGGCCAGGGAGAGATCCCTATACCTTTTGTGGTCACGAAAGTGTCCTGTGTTGATGGCTGTGGTGGGTAAGTACAGGAGCAACACTTGTTTTCCCTACATTTGTGCTCTGTGTTTTACCACAATTAAAATTTATTTATTTATTTATTTATTTTATACCGGGGATCAAACTCGGTCGGGTCCTTGTGCTTGCATGGCAGGCAGCAGAACCACTGAGCTAAATCCCCAGCCCTTAAATTATTTTTTTTTAATGGAAAAAATATGAGGTTTGGAGGTAGTAGCCTGAGTCATATCCCAGGTCTACTACTTGCTAGCTGTCTGAATTTTGGTAATTCATTTAACTCCTCTGTGTCTGTTTTCCAGTTATACAAATGAGAATTATAATTATGTACCTCCCAGGATTCCAGGAACAAATCCAGATAAGACATTTACTACAGTGCCATGGTATAAATATTCAACAAAAGCAAGTTACTCTCTTCCATTAACTGTAAGACACCATCGGGGACAAGAATTATCATTATTTTAAGAAGCACTAAGAACTGAAAACACAGGAAGAGTATTGATATGCACATTTTGGGAGGCTGAAGCAGGAGGATCCAAGTTTGAACCCAGCCTGGATAGCTTAATGATTTAGCAAGACTCTGGATCAAATTAAAACAAAACAAAACTCTGATCAGTGCAAGGGGCCTGGATCCAATCCCCAATACCATAAATAAATAAATGAAGGAAAACATAATGACAACTGTAAAATATGGCCAACTTCCTAATTCAGGATATAAATGTAACCAAAAGATTCCTCAGAATCCATGAAATACTGTATTGTGATTGTCTCTCAATCTCCACTTTAGTTTGCTATATGTCTTTTATGCTTGCATCACATGCCTTTGTGCTCACTGGGTTTTGTTTGTGTGTTTGCTTTCCTGAAATACCACCCCAGCCTCTCCTCTAGCAGAACTGGACCCAGCCTACCAGGCCCACGATAAATGAACCATTTTTTGCAATCTTTGCGGAACCAGTCAGAATTCTCAGCACCTCCTCAGGGCTCCCACGATCTTCTGCGAACAGCTCATAGATCCCCTCCCTCCCTGTGGCTGCTGTGTGCCTGAACCCCTTGGGCACGCTTCTCTATTTTGATGCCCCCACACCCCAACTTAGCAGGTTCATCGTTCTTCAGCAGAGTGCAGAGGAATAGCGTTTTCAGAAGGAGACAATTCCCCAGGCTGAGGGATGAGGTGTAAGGGGCTGGCTGACTGAACAGGAAGGGAAGTTGGAGCCTGACGGAGGTCTGAGCCCCAAGCACAGGAAGCAGGATGGGTGCATCTTGCCTGTGGCTCCTCCCTTCTCTCTCCACTTCCTGGCTGCCATTCGGTGAAAAGCTTTTCTCTGCCAATCATTCTGCCTTGGAGGGGCCCAATCATGAACTGAATCCCCTGAAACAGAGCTTCAGCGAACCTCTCCTTTAAATTGTGGGTGTTGGGTATTTTGTCCCAGCTACAGGAAAATGAAGAAGATAGTTAACAGTATATAAACCAAACAGGTTTGAGCAACAGTTCCCAAATGTTAACTTACATCACCCTCAGTTGGAGGGCTCCTTAAACCCAACTTTCTCTCCTCCGGTCAGCTGAGTTTCTGATGCTGTAGGTCTCTCCAGGAGCCCACAAATTTGTCATCATCACAAGTTCCCAGGTGGCCCCGGTGCCTCCCATCTGGGACCACACTTCCAGATGAATTCTGCTTCCTGAAGCAAGCGGCTGGACCACGGGACCATTATGGTCTGTGACAGATTCTATTTTTCTTGTTGTCTTAGCTGTTTCTTTTCTAACTGGGGCAGCTACCCCATGGCCTGCGCATTATATACCCCAAACTCATGTGAGACCTATGGACATTATCTGAGGAAGGCAGCTGGACCCCCAGAGCACCTGGGGAGCAAAGCTGGGCACAGGCCCTGCCATCTGTCATTAAGGTAACACGCCCCACAGGCTGCTGGCGCAGAAGCAACTTCTGGCAGTAAGGGATGAGTTGGCCAGATACGCCAAGTCATGAGCTGAGGGCAAGAACAATGCTGTTTGTCAGAAGCTCAAAGTAGAGCTGGCCTTGAGGCAAGGTGTCCCTGCTGGACTGGATGTTTGGTGGGGGGCTGACACTCCCTCATCCAACTGCTGCTCCTAAGTCCTACCTATGTGAGACCTGCTTAGAGTGCTTAGACCATTCTAGCCTGACGTTAGGCAAGTTGTTTAACCGCTCTCAGTTTCTTCTGCAAAATGGAGGCAGCCAGCACTGTTGGAGGAACGGAAAGCCTGACCTGTGAAAGACACCATCCAACAGGGGGAGGGTGTCCTTTACCATCCCCTCCAAGGACTGAGAACCCAGTGAGGGCACTAAATCCTCTTAGGCGAGACAGATACTGAGGTGCAGGCAGGTAAGGTGGGAAAACAACCCTGTGGGTGGGAAGGAATCCCCTGGATAGGATGGGAGGCACTGCGGGTGGGAAGAACGGCAAGAGCAGGGCTGGAAGGTGAGGCCAGGCTTCCTGCTGGTCCAGGTGAGGGAGGCCTTGAGGTGGAGGGCTGTACACAGGGGTTGTGATGGGAGTCAGAGGAGGGGGAGCCCAGGACCCACAAGGAGGGCACCATGAGCCCCTGAAATCGTTTTCAAAACTATTCCTTTATATGCTTTTTCCTGGACAAGGATCCAGGGTTTCGTCCAATTCTCTGAGTAGGCTGGGGCCTTTGAGAAACCTTGGGAAGAGAAGACTTGTGTGAGAAGGATTCAAGGGAGCTCAGCTTCTTCACTGAGGCTTCTACCTATGAGGTAATAGGGAGCCGCTGCAGGGCTTCGAGCAAGGGCATTGGTATTCACTGCACAGCTTTGTCTGAGCTCTTCACATGTGTTGTTCCAGATGGGCCCTGTAGTCCAGGGCGAGGAAGGGCACAAATCCACACATGCAGGTATGGAAACACAAGGGAGAAATGATGAAAATGATGCTGGCAATGTTGTCCCAGTCCTGGGGTCTGAGCAGGGAGGTAGGCAGCTGGACTGGCTGTCCTTTCCCTGGGCCCCAGTTCCCATAATCCTTCTGGAGCAGGTCTTGGCCCTGACACTGGGTCCACACTCACACACCTGCACCTGGAAGAGAAGCTGCTGGGCTCACCTTACAGGACACAGATGACATCAGTCACCTCCTTGGTGAACGTGCCAGGGGCATTTGAACCTGGGAAACTGGGGCCGAGCTACCATCACCATGGTCTAGAGGAAGCTGCACACTCACTGCATCTCAGGTATTCATTCACCCAGGATGCAGAAACCAACTTTGTGCTCATCCCAGCCACCACAGTACAGGGCAGGACCAGAGACTGAGATGTTTCCTTGAGGGAGGATCTCTTTATACTGGGTGCTGTGGGAAACTTGAACACAGAGAACTAGGGAGGATGGGTCAGAGCTAGAAGTCGCATTTGCCACCCAGACTGCCCAGGCTCAGGCTTTCATCTCCATGGCACTCTGCCCTGAGGAGGCTGTGACCCTGAGAGAAACTCAGGAGACCAAGGCAAAGGCGGAAGCAGTGGATGCTGGGAGTGATGAGGGATGGTCCTGGCCTGCTTTTTGTCCACTCCCTCCATCCCTCCCTTAGCACCGTGCATTGTGGGAGTCAGAGCCTGGGAGAAATCTGGAGAACCAAGACAGCTGACATGCATGAGTTTTGAGGGTGGAGGAGAAACACCCAAACCAGAGTAGGGCAGTCCCTTTCAGGACCCTTCAATGCCGCTGAGATCACAGTCTGGGAAAATTGCTCCAGAATCGAGAGAGCCCCTCTGTGATGGGGAGCCAGTGGCTGAGAAGAGGAAGGGGCAGAACTTGTCATGGAGGCTGTGGCAGTCCATGGCCTGGGAACCCAAGGCTGAGATGCCAAAGAGAGTGGCTCCGACCTTAGTTCATGGTCCCTGAGAACATGACAGGCTCCTGAATATGGTGACTGGAAGACCGCAGCAGTGACGGTCTGCTCAGGGATTTCATGTTGGACTTGTTTGTTTTTATACATGTACACATTTCCCATTTTTCTCTCTTCTTCACTCATCTATCAGAATTTTGTTGACTGTAATTAGGTTTGGTCTTTTCATCTATGTATATCCCTATAGCTATTTAGTAGCTTAACATGCTAAACTGTTCAGTCGTAGATCCATGCCAAAGTTCACTTCTTCAGCCTGTTAAACTTTCTTTCTTGGACAGTCAGTCTGACAGTTGGACACAACGCTCTCTCTTGCCTCTTCTCTCACTTTTGGCTATCCTCCCTTCCTTCCCCACTTTCTCTACATTCCTTCACACACCTCCTTTCTGCTCTACCTGTCTTCCTTATTTTTTCTTTTGCTTTACATCCTTTTTGCTCCTCTCAATATACACTATTAGTATTAATGTGAATATCATTAATATCTAGTTTTCAGTAACCTAGTATGTTATCCTTCTGGCCTAGACATCCCCTGTGTGGCAAGAGTAGAGATCTTTCTAAACAAAGTCTCTATTACCTGGTAATATCTGGTTAGGTTTTTAACTTACATTTACTTCTCTTTTCTTCTCTCATTCTGCCACACACATAATCTCTCAAAACTCTTCTCTCCCCCTCCTGTTTCCAGCATAAAAATAATAGCATCAAAACCTATATTTTCTTCTTTCTTATGTTCCCTTCTGTTTCTCTAGCCCCCACTCTTTTTCTTCCTTCTTCTAATTCCCAGTCTGTTCTCCATCATTACTATTTCCTGGTCTCCCTGGTCTGTTGAAAGAGTTGAAAAGTCTTTAAACAAGTTTAATATTATGTCTTGATACATGATTAGCTCTGGAGGTTGCTATTACTGGTAATTGTTCTCTCTCTGCAGTGTGTACTAGGGATAGAGCCTAGTATTCTGAAGAGGTTGAATGGGATCATCCCCAAATCCATCACTGGGAGAAATCCACTTCCTAAAGACATCTCTGTTTTAGTGGTAGAGTTTTCTATCTCATCAGATCCAACCTTCAACAAAAAAGCCCAATAATCATGAGAAAAAAAGGCAGCAAGATGCCTCCAAAAATTCATAACTCTCTTAAAATGGATCTCAAAGACACAGAAGTGGATGAATTTTCAAACAAAGGGCTCAAAACAGGTAAAAAAAATTGAAAAGGTCAAAGAGGAGACAAATAAGCAGCTGACTGAAATGATTATTAAAATGAATGAACTTAGAGAAGATGTAAGTAAGCAGTGAAATGAAGCATTAACTAAGATTATCAATGAATTTAAAGGAGAAACAAATAAGAAGCTGAACTAAGGAAGGCAGTGCAAGATATGAAAGACCGAGCCGGTCATGGTGGCGCACGCCTGTAACCCCAGCACTCGGGAGGCTGAGGCAGGAGGATCACTGTGACTTCGAGACAGCCTGAGGTACATAGTGAATTCCAGGTCAGTCTCACTACATAGTGAGACCCTGCCTCAAAAAAAAAAAAAAAAAAAAAAAAAAGAGAGAGAGAGATATGAAAGACCACTTCAGTAGAGAATTAGAGGATATGATAAGGAATCAAGCAGAAATTATGGAAATGAAAAGTTTGATTGAAAGTTTTAGCAGTAGGCACAATCAATCAGAAGACAGAATATCAGGACTTGAAGACAAGGGTTGAGATAGCATGTCCTTTACTTAGTAATACCCGAAAGGTAATCAGAAGATGACCCAAGAACTCCTACGAGACTTTAAAAAAATTCTAAGGATTATTGGATGGCCAGGGATTTAGCCCAGTGGTTCTGCCACCTGCCTTGCAAGTTTGATCCCTGGTACCAAAAAACAAAAAGAGAGAGAGAGAGAGAAAGAGTTAGAGAGTTAGACTTAGAGTCTAATGCTATAAAATTTATTCACCAAAATTAATGCAGAAAAATTTCCAAATCTAGGTGATGAGTTGGATACCTAGATAAAATAGACACAACTCAAAAAGAACTTTTCCATGAAAGGTTTTTGAGAAAAATGTCAAATAATTTATACAGGCAAACCCATCAATATAATAGCAGATTTCTTAACACAAGCCTTAAAAGCCCAGAATGAATTCTTTCAGCCCTAAAAGAAAATCATTGCTAATCAGATTATTATACAGTGCAAAATTGTACTTCAGAATAGATGGAGAAATAAAGACCTTCCATGAGAGAGACAAAATCTTAAAAAAAAAAAAAAAGACCACCAAACCAGCGTTGCAGAAAATATGCAAAGAAATGCTAAATAATAAGGCTATCAACACCCAAGAACCCAAAGGAAAGAATAAATCTCACTGGAAGAGATTTTCCTAAAAGGAAAATTAAAATAAATCAGCATAGAACACATAATATAATGACAAGAATCACTAAATACTTTTTTTTTTCTTTTTTGGTTCTGGGGATTGAACTTGGGACCTTGCACTTGTGAGGCAGGCAGTGGAACCACTGAGCTAAATCCTGGCCCCAAGAATCACTAAATTTTTTAAATGATAACTCTTGGTGTAAATAATCCTAATTCCCCAATCAAAAGACACTGGCAGAAATCCCATATAGATGTAACAGATCTTCCTCATCCACTCCATTCCTTTTCAAAATAATACTTGAAAGTTTAGGGCAATCAAACAAGAGAAAGATAAAAGAGAGATATGAATAGGAAAGGAGGAAGTAAGACTAAATTTGCTAATGATATGATCCTGTACATAGAATACCCAAAAGACTTCACTCTTAGACGTAATAAACAAATTCAGCTAAGTGGTGGGATACAAAATCAACACACAAAAAGCGATAGCATTCCTGCAGACCAATAAGGAACCCACTAAGAAAAGAATCAAGAAAACAATTGTATTCACAATAGCCTCAAAAAACAATAATACCAAAAAACAAACAAAAAAAACACCCCTAGAAATCAGCCTTACCAAGGAGGGGAAAGACCTTTACAATGGAAACTACAGTGCTTTGAAAAAAGAAATTGAAGCGGATGTTAGAAAATAGAAAGACATCCCCTGTGCCTGAATAATATAATTAAAATTATAATTAATATAATTAAAATGACCATATCACCAAAAGATAGATAGATAGATAATCGATTCCTATTAAAATACCAGCAACATTCTTTACAGAGCTAGAAAAAGAAAAAAACTAAAATTTATATGGAACCTGAAGAGACCCAGAGTAGCCAAAAAGCAATCCTGAGCAAAAAGAGCAAAATGAGAAACATCACAATACCAGATTTCAAGTTATACTACAGGCAATAGTAACAAAAACAGCATGATAGTGGCACAAAAATAGATGTGTATAAAACAGAAGACACAGCAACAGCCCCATGCATCTTCAGCCATCTGATCTCTGACAAAGGAGCCAAAAAATACACAGTAAAGAAAAGATAGCCTCTTTTAACAAATGGCGTTCACAAAATGTTATCCACATGCAGAAGAATGAAACTAGATCCATGTTCTCACCCTGCACTAAAATCAAATAAAAATAGATCAAAGATCTATATGTAAAAGCAGAAATGCTAAAACTACTAGAAGATAGCTTAGGAGAAATACTTGAATCCATAGTCACAGGCAAGAACTTCCTCAACAGAAATCCAGTAGCACAAGAAATAACACCAAGAATCAACAAGTGGGATCATATCAAAGCAAAAAGCTTCTTCATAGCCAAGGAAACAACCAACAGAGTAAAGAGGCAACCTATTGAACGGGAAAAAATTTTTGCCAGCTGCTTTTCTGACAGCAGCCTAATGTCTAGGCTATCCAAAAAACTCAAAAAAATAACCTCCCAGGAACAAATGACCCAGTCAAAAAATGGGCAAATGAACTAACTGAGTAGATGCTTCTCCTAAGAAGCACAAATAGCCAATAAGTACATGAAAAAATATTTAGTATCTTTAGCCACTTGGGAAAGGCAAATCAATCCTACTTTGAGATTCCATCTTACTCCAGTCAGAATGCCAGTCCATCATCAAGAGCACAAGAAACAACAAATGTTGATGGGGAAGGGGGCATCCTTCTACCTTGTTGAAAGGAATGTAAATTAGTGCAACTACAGTGGAAACCAGAATAGAGATTCCTCAGAAAACTGACAATAGAAATTCCATTTGACCCAGCTATACCTTTCCCAAAGGGGTTAAGTCATCATGCTGTGATGACACATGCTTGCTCATGTTTATAGCCATGTAATTCACAATAGCTAAGGTCCGGAGCCAGGTTAGATGCCAATCAACAAATAAAAAAAGGATAAAGAAAATATGGCACATGTATATATATATA